TAATTCGCTGTTGAATTGCTTTTTATTCAATAAGAATAAGTTGGCTGTGACATGAATTCGATGATATATCGACACTTGGTAGGCTTTGAAATTTAAAGATCATTAGTAAACCGATATTATTAAAAATGATATTGATATTCTGGTCAAGATGAAAACCTTCGAAAATAACTCATGATATTGAGGAACCTAAGATAGAAACATATTTTTTCGAATTCAGCTACTCGTACAGAAACTATCTGTCTTTTATTTTCGCCATGTACCTATCACATGATCTTCCCATTTGGAATAATAAAACTGAAATTGTTCCTCTTATACGATGATCCACAGGGCTATCAGTCTATTTTTTCATAATTATTTCACTTAGTAGGCGGTGTACCTACACAAAATGTTTTATGTGTTTGACAGTTAATCGATTGCATCAATAATTTTTCTTCTTCATTTGTGTGTTGATTAAAATTGCATATTATCAATAGAGACGGGAAATGTATTCAAGAAACGAAAAAGTCGATATGTTGTTAATATGCAATTTTAATCAACACACAAATGAAGAAGAAAAATTAATGATGCAATCGATTAACTGTCAAACACATACAACATTTTGTGTAGGTACACCGCCTACTAAGTGGAATAATTATGAAAAAATAGACTGATAGCCCTGTGCATGGATCTCGTATAAGAGGAACAATTTTAGTTTTATTATTCCAAATGGGAAGATCATGTGATAGGTAGGTACATGGCGAAAATAAATGACAGATAGTTTCTGTACGAGTAGCTGAATTCGAAAAAATATGTTCCTATCTTAGATTCCTCAATATCATGAGTTATTTTCGAAGGTTTTCATGTTGACTCAAACAAGCTATTGACAACCTGTAAACATTGATCAGAATATCAAGACATTTTGAATAATATCGGTTTACTAATGATATTTGAATTTCAAAGCCTACCAAGTGTCGATATATCATCGAATTCATGTCACAGCCAACTCATTCTTATTGAATAAAAAGCAATTCAACAGCGAATTAAGAAATAAATGCCACTTTGTGATACATGGTTGTATAGAAAATTTCAAGGCGAAAAAGATAGACTGAAGAAATGTACAGGGTGACACACAAAAAGGAAAAGTTGGGGTCACTTCCGGTCAAACAGGTGGTTGAAAAAAATTTTCATTAAGTTCGTAAAGTGCGCTACCATTAATTATATACCCCCTGTGGATTTCAAATTTGTTTCTCTTCAAATAAAAAAACTAAAGGCTGCTATATATCTCCTGTGTCACCCGGTATATAAAATCTACTGGACAAATTATGAAAGACTGTTTTTTTCAAAAGAAAAAAATAGAACAATAAATAAACTAGTTAAGGGGGGGTCCGGTTAATATAGAATCAATTGCCTTACCTTTACCATTGGTAATACTAGCTGAATGTCCCAAACTCAAACAAACTGATACTAGAAATACTAATGAAAAGTACTTCCAATATTTCTGCATTGCACATCCTTTTCCATGGAACAGTAACCTGAAATAAGCATTGAATAAAGAAACCAATTGCGAATCTAATTTACAATATTCAATAGTAAAATCATTATTGGAAGATAATGATGATACACTTACTTAGCCATGGTCACTGGTCAGTCTGATAGGTAAGGGCCTATCTGGTTAAGACCTAATGCACTAAACTATATAATGCTGTTTTATCGTACCTATCTTATTTATTCTGTTTATGACCTTTGTAATTAACAATATTTGAGTAAGCAATGCAGATATGAAAACAAAAGGACGAAGTCAATGCGACATGATTCATGAACGTAAGAAAATGATATTTTGATATAGTAAATATCATATCAGTATTATAATACACCAGAGCGTTGATAAAAAATGATCAAGTTCAAGCTGAAGGAATAAAATATAGCTGAGAGATATACAGTGCTTTGGTCAAGTACTGAATAAATTAATTTTTAGCCAAACTATCCTTTACTGAGGAATCTACTGAAACACGTCGATTTTTATTTTCAATGTACCACATTTTCAAGAAAAAAATTCACAGAGGGTTATCCATGTTTGAGACGACCGAGACAATTATTTCAAATGGAACATCCTATATATTATTGAATTTTTGAAATCTCCATGGAAATATGAATACAAAATTGTATTACACAAAGGGTTTGTATACAGTGTGTCCGTTAAATTGGGTGCTCTAAAGTAGGGGATAAATTCATCTTGTCTGTGACGGGAAAAAAGTTTGGCATTTCATCTCTGTTGGCAGGTCATAAAATGTCACTTTTCATATATTACTTTTTTCCCGTGGGAAAAAAGTGAGTATTTTTTTCCTGGATATACATATATCACATATATAACAAGGGGAAGCTTTCGTGACTGTTCTATAATAATATTCTTGGAAATATTAGTGGGATGCAGTCTGGACCAATGAATTAATTAGATTTCTTCGTTATTTGTCGAGCTTTCGAAAATTTTTATTTTCTTTATCAAGACTAACTGAAAACATCGAATGGAACAATAATATTGGAATATAAATGTACATCAAATGAAATTGGTATACTTACAAACATCTTCAAATGAGTCAACCATCATCTATGACATTTTTTTGTCAAATCATTTCATTTTTATTTATACACCTATGTTTCCTTTTTGTGCTAATTTTATATAGAATTGCATGTTTGTAAGTAAACCAATTTCATTTGATGTACATTTATATTCTAATATTATTGTTCCATTCGATGTTTTCAGTTAGTCTTGATAAAGAAAATAAAAATTTTCGAAAGCTCGACAAATAACGAAGAAATCTAATTAATTCATTGGTCCAGACTGCATCCCACTAATATTTCCAAGAATATATCACATATATATACACTGTTGTTGGCTTTTGTTGTGCTATAGTTTCGAAAAAAGAGTCAATAATACCGTCTCCGAGAAAGAACTGCAAGTCCTTTTATCTTCCATTCGACTTCGCGGTTACGTATATTACTAAACAAACGGAGCTAAAGTCTACTACTTTTTCCCTTGTATAATAAATAACTATTCAATCCGTACTATCAATTTCTGACAAATCTGCTGAAACATATCGATTTATATTTTTAGTTTGCCATGTTTATAAGGAAAACTTAAATAGGTATACATGGTTATGACGTCCGCGACATTTTTTCAAATAAAACACCCTATATATGTTATTCTATTTTTGAAATCTCCATATATGAAAAGCTGGATTCAAAAATATATCACATACACAGTTTGTATGTACAGTGCGTCCGATTAACTAAGTGCTTTCGTGAAGTATGAGGAAAATTCCTAAAAAATGTAAAGAAAAATGTTTGGAAAAAATGCTCAGAGCAGTCGAATTTCATGTTCATTAAGGCACTCATCAAAATTCAATCAATACATACGGATCAATAATTCGTGTAATGAATATTAAAAAAATTAAACGTAAGACACAAACTGTTGTAACACAGGTATTTGAAAAATTGAATTTCATCTGAATCAGATTAAGTATTGTCTTTTTTTGGTTTATAAATTCATATGTATGTACATTTATAACTTATTTTGTAATATTAATTCAAGCAGAGCGTACTGAAATATCATGCACATCATAATAAGTATCTGTGATTAACTAAAGATTTATAATAATATCGGTGATTATAATGATGAATAGGTGTCAACATATTTTGCGGTAGACTACGAAATGTTTCAGTAGTTCACTATGCAAATCAGGAGATCTGCTGAAAATTCTGTAGTACTGGCAACCCTGCAGCGGATGTAAAGAATTTGCGGACGAAAAGTTAGTGTCTGCGGACGAAAAGTACTTGCCTTCGGAAATAGTTGGTTTTTCGTTCGGAAATTAGAACTTGAATTATTATTTTTTGTTGAGGTCGACGAATAATTTTTTTTTCTGCAACCGATGCAAAAGTCCATTTCAATACAAAAATTACCTCTTGAATTGACGTTTCTATTACTGACACAAAAATTGGTATGTTGCCTTGCAACATATTTCGTTCCTAGGAGCTAAAGTTGAACTTTATTTCCTAGGAGCTAAAGTTGAACTTTGGCTCCTAGGAACTTAAAAGGATGTACTAGACGTCATCAAGAATAAACAACATTGTTACGGTTGGTTATTTGGGTTGGGACGCATACCTGATTTGTTTCCGATTTCGGCAGATTTGGCATTTCATACCCATGCAGGAGATATAAATACCCCTTATTATAGTTGAGTATCGCAATTATACACATCTCAGTTAAGTATTTTTGTTTTGATCAGGGAAGCCTTCAAGATTCACATACTTGTATTTCATTCTTTATTCTCGGGATGGATAACTTGTTTTCGAATAATCACGGCAAGCAATAGTTTTTTGTCTCAAACAACGATATTGTTTACCTCTATTTGATTATCAAGTCAAACACTGTGTAGTATGGAGAGGAATAAATAATCACTATTATTATTGTTGATATGCTTACTAACCTAACATTTTCCACGTCTTGTTCCTATACCTGGCACTGGCGCGGTATATGCCATTAGAGCACCTGGTCCATACACAAATATGCCACTCTGTGGCTGTATTTATATTGAAACTACAATTCGAACATCCTTGAAAATTGAATAAACCTGCTCTTAATACAGGTAGAATATTTTCACCACACGGACTTTGCATTGATTTTAGTTTGTTGCATTGCATACATATGACACGGCATTGGTGGTTACTTCACATATTCATTTGAGTTGATTGTTTCGGTTGCAGAAAAAATAGCATGTTTCATTCGGATCAAAAGTAACTTTGTTTGACTCGCCAACAAAGTGTCACTTTTGATCCTAATAAAACAATCTACTATTCTTCAACCAAGTCAGATGGCGTACCACTTTTGTTCCAAAATTAGCTCTCTCAATTGACTTTTAGTGTCTAGGAGCTAAAGTTGAAGTTTAACTCTTAGAAACCAAAAATGAGTCAACTAAGTGCATGATGATATAGGATAGGTACTGCAGCTGATATGCTCAAGTGAATCACAACGTGAATAATTATATTTCAATTATATTTTATCAATTAGATAACAATTCTTCTGTTTACAGAATATTTCAATCGAATAAAAAATGTCTGTTTGCCAATTTTTTGATTCGTATGGCTTCGCCTCGTTAACGCACTTCTCCAACAATGTGTCACTTTTAATCCAAGAAAAAACAACGCACTGTCAAGTTCTACCACATATTACATTTTTTCTTAGGGTTCATGAAACTTCCTTCGGGACATTGGAAGGCAGCAGAAAAGTCTACGGAATTCTGAAGTGTTCCCAAAACTCGCAAGTAGTGTGGCGCATGAGCATCAGTCTCTTCGTTGAGGCTCATTTTAGGTTCTAACTCCATGCACCATGCCTGAAATCGCAACAACAAAAAAGTCAAATCAATTTTTCATTTCAAATTTCTCAAATCGTCATAACCCAACTAGCAAGCGAGAAAACGGGCGTGAAAATTACACTTTCATGTACAAGGTGTTTCCATAGGTGAGACATCCTATTCCATAGTGTATAGAACTCGTCAGAATAAGCCATAATGTGACGAATCATGAAGACACTTTTTTTACTGCGTGCGGAAGAGTCCACTTACTCGAACTCATTTTTAGTGTTGAAAAAGTCTTAAGTTTCTGGGGAAAAATCATGGGTTTTTTCCGCACGCTAGAAGAAAAAATAGTGTACCTAAACAAGTGAGTGAATTTATTTTCCCGCACTGGGTAATCTACTATTGCGGAGAAGTAAATTTGTTTATTTGCTGGGGACTTTACTGACACAACACAAATGTTTCATTAGGTTAACCAACAAATAAATAAAAATCAAATCGGCCTACTATTGTTTTTTTTTTTTAAGGGAACTGAGTGTATTTCAGCATAAGTATCTAGTTGTGTTTCTTCCAACAAATGAATATTATCAAGTTTAATAACACTTACACTAGCGTATGCAATGAAAAACGTTTGGGAAGTGGTGAAATTTTCGAAACCTGGCAGTTTGGGTTCTACACCATACGTTTTTTCATAATGATGGTAAGCATTGAAAGCTGCACGTAATCCTCCATTATCTGCTATGTTCTCACCAAGTGTTACTGTTCCATTTATCTGGAATTTAAACATAAATTAGGAAAAAATGTGTGAGAAAAATTTATTCAAGAATGATGCCAATTTGAAAAACCAACATAGGTTCTTGTGAACTGCGGAAAGGTACTTAGATACCAGAACCAGAGCAATAAGTGGTGTTTTTGAAAATGTCTTCATACGTTCATTGAATTCTTTATAAAATATATTCGTATAACTCTTCCATATTGATATCACCTACTTTTCCATCAACACCTTCAAGAGAAATATCTTCATAATGATCAATGAAACATCCAGTCAAATTTTGAAAATTCTCGATTGTATCATTACTCCACCATGTTCTCTGGTTGCCAAATTTATCAAATTTCCGACCTGGAACACGAATATACTCAAAAATCGGGAGATCAGACACATTTTCAAAATTAAAATATTAAGATTTCGATAACAAATGTCTACTTTTATGTAGATTTTTAGCCCACCGCGTATATTTAGCATCTAAATACTGACCGTCATTGTCGAATGCATGAGTTATTTCATGTCCCAAAATTGCACCCACTGCTCCATAATTTAGTAGCCTGAAAAAAAAAAGAAGATTGTTACTTTTTTTCATATGATATAATAGAAATTACTCACTCTAGTCCCAGCCTATACATGGGGTATCTGAGAACTACCATTGGTACTTCTGTAATATAATATTTATCTGTATGAGTTGTCATATTATAATAGGTGTATATTGACAAAAACAAAATTTGTTGGAAACTACAATATTTTTGTAAATTCAACAAAATTTGAGTGTTATATATCCACGATAAAATATTTTGTCACCGCAACAAATTTTTTTTGTCAGTTTTCAACTTAAAATTTATTTGATTTAACTCATTAATGATTCAAATTGACAGCAGGATTTGGTTGAATAAACAAAGGGACATTTTGTTCCTATAATACGATATCTGCTCTAATGAACAGATTTTGTTGATTGAAATGATCATATCATTTAGCACAGATCTTATACGGATATGTCTACCAAGGAAGCAAGCTAAAGCCAATTCATTTCACCTCCCACGTAAGTTAGTTTTTTTTCTCCCGTGGGAGTAAACTGACAGGTTTGTGTCCTTGAATGAGGGAGCAAACTCTCACGTTAGATGCAGTGAATAGATATTTTTTAATTTTCACCGAACATAAACGTTTATTGAGAAATAAAAATTGATTATTATAAAAATCCCCCTATAGATTTGGATTGATCTGACGGGAAACGATTATTGATGTTGTCATGCCAATCAAACCTCAAATAAGTTCGAAATTGTCGAAGTGACAGACACAACGTTACTGTCATTTTCGATTCAGTGGAAATGCCACAATGTGATCAAAAACTTCTAGGTATAGGGATTTGATAAAGATGCGTTATCACCAACGAAGTCTTAAGAAAGGTATGAGAAGCTATACACGCGTTTTATTGAATGGTGCAACAATAAAAAGAAATGAAAATACCGAATGAAGAAAAGGTATTTTTGGCTCATTTCATAGAAGTGTCTGGAACCTAGAGACCAAACTCCTAATGGGCCTGCTGGCTTCCGCAATGAACCAACATAATGCGTCACACTGTAAGTTCACAATAGCTATTACTAATAATTAGTAGATAGAGATAGAGAATATATATATCTCTTGTTAGTTGTTCCTGTTTGCTCGAATATTTAATTGAACGATTCAATCAATTTCCTACGCTTGTAGAAAAAATATTGTTCCTATAACTCATGCAGAAAGTGTCTTTCTCGCACTCGACTGCTTGCCCGAACTCCGCTTCGCGTCGTTCGTGTCAACGGCAGTCGCGTGCGGGAAAGAATCACTTTCCGCACTTGTTAGGAAAATTACTATTACTAGGAGTTCGAATAAAATGCATTTCAATGGCGCTGGAAAATGGCTGTTCCAAAGATATATTGCGGAATGTCTCACCTATGGCATTATGTTGGGGTGAATAGAAAGCGTTTGCTTTGATAGCCTCACTTTGATCAAAATCTCTGGGTTCCCATTCTCGCACCGCTTTTTTCCTCAAGGAACCCAATTTTTTCATATTGTATGATCTGACGGTACTGATGATATTTGCTAAATATGCGTCTGGTTCTATGATAACCTAAAATTCAAAACAGAAATATCTAAGGAATCAGAATGAGATCATAAATCTTTAAATAACGTGTTTCGGCTAACACGTTGCTATCTTCAGTAGCCCGAAAACTACCCAACCAATAAAGAGTCTAGCTGGTAACCTAGAGGTATTCTTCGGATTGAAGTACTTATTCCTATCAGTAGTTGTGTCTCAATTATATATTTAAATCAGTTCCATGAACTTACGTCAGCATAATACTTGTCCAATTCATCTTTTCGGGATATCCATTCGGGATAGCCGATGTAAAGTAATATTTCTTCTGCTTTCTCAATCGTTAATTTCTTTGTTTCTTTGTCCATCCACGTTATATCGTGTACATGTTCCATAAAAGCTTTCCTCATGTTGTTTATCATAATTTCTACCTAAAACCGTTTTCTCTGTTGATAAAAAACATACCCATTATTGATATATATAGGTATAGGTTGTAACAAGCTTACCTTGGGCTTAGTTTCATTTGAATAGAACTTGTCCAATAAAGCATAAGTGAAAGCATAGCCCATATGCTTACTCACTAGAGAAACGCATTCTGCATCGCTAAAAAACAATTCGAGTTATACACATACAGGGTATCTAAATAACACCGAAAAAATTCAAGGGGTGTTGGATTTTTTCGGTGTTATTTATACAGGGGGTGTATATACAGGAATATATGCAACAGAGTGATTCAGGTTTTAAGGTACAAACTGAGATGGGTGATCGATCTCATCATTTTAATCAAAAAAGTTCATACAGGGTGTTACAAATTCGTGGCTAAGCATGGAGATCTCGGTAAACTTAAGAGATACAGAGTATAGGTTGAATTAGGGGAAAGTTGCACCATTTCATGCTCAACAAAATGCTGCTTTGGAATTAATGTTAATTATTTCCAGAGATATTCGGAAAAAAAAGAAAAATATGCAAAATCGTTTATTTGGAGTGATATTTTAAAATGAATGTCACTTCATCATTGCCACTTTTCCTACTCAACAAAATGGAATTGTCAAATTGTAAATCCGGCGTTTCTTCTTCGAGCGGCCTTCATCAACTTTATTTTTTTTAAATACGGACCTGGATTTTTCATTTCATTTTTCGATAGTTTCCGATCTCTTCGATATGATGTTGTGATGTGTTCCTCCATCGAATGACTACTTCTCCGGTTATATTAATTCCTTAGATTTAGATACAGGTTGAATCGAAAAATCAAAAATATCAATATTTGCCATTGAATAACTAACACCCTATATGAGATATTGCGTTCAAATTTCAAATGGGGGTAATTCATCTACGCTTGAATCGAATAGGCTAGTCACTGTTTCGGAAAAAAATTGACTAATAGTCGTTTTTGAAAATTTGACCCCTTCAACAAACAAATGTAGGCCTTGAAAATCTGAATATTTCAGATTTGTCCACATTTTCGAATAGAGCTCGTTGGGTACTATCGAATTTTTGTTCCAAATTAGGAGGGTGTTGCGGGTTAGAATCGCACACACTGTATATCTATATATTTTTCATCTCCTGTAATTTTTCGCACCTGCGACCGTTATGAAGAAAAAAATCATTTCATTTCATTTGCTAGAATACAATATTTTCAACAACACGGAGGAACCTATTATCACAATGAAATCAAAAACGCTACATGTTCAGTTTGCGATCTTGATTTTGATTTTCTAAACATTATACCTGGAGAAAAAACCTAACAAACCTCACTTTTGGTGCTGGAAAATATGAATATCTTGAAACTTTTACGCTCAGCTGATCGGCAACGAAGCGTTTGCGGACACATATTTTTCAGAAAAAAGTTCCATTCTGATCTGAAGAATAAGTCCCTGAAATCTTGATATTGAATATTGAAACACCCTGTATATAAGAATTAAACAAAAATACTTCTTTGGACAAACAAATCACAAATCAAACAGCCGTAAACGTCTTTATTATTATTTTAGGAATGATAATTACCCCATTACCCCTCTCCCCCTCAAATTGACGCCCTTGCAGTCCAACTGCTGCCTACTTACGTTTTTTCCGTATCTACTTCATCGTCGGAACCTTTGAGTCTATTCATCTGCTTGGTGACATAACTGACAATTTTCGGAGAAGTATTGATGACCATCGCAAATACGGATTTCCACCAAGAATACAACTCTACTTCAGCGGCCGGCAATTGTTCGACGTATTCCACAACCTTGCTCATGTACTCCAACTCCATCTCGGTGACGTAAATCGAATCTTTTTCAGGGTAATTTTTTTGTGAATAACTTCACAATCGATAAATTTTCCACAAAATTCTTAAAATTACAACATTTTTAGCCAACACAGTGTAGCAGTTTCAAGGAAAATACTCGTATAATAAATTAAGAGTTGCTTATGAAGCAAGTAACACGTTGGGGAGGTTTATCAAAAATAATGGAAAGCTTGAAAATTCGAATAATCATGATTATTTGTATACTCCTGCAGGAGTATACAAACTGATCTGTGGATCTTTTACTAAGGTAATTCAAGATAAGGTCGACTCATAGATTGTCCCAATGGCTCCCGTTCGTTTTGCTGAAGTAGTCGGAAAGACTTTTACTAATGGTTCATTCCCACCACTCTCCTAAGCCGACGGCACATTAGCAACAACACCGCAGGAGAAAGCAAATATTTTTGGAGAGATGTTCGCAGAAAACTCTACTTTAGATTCCCAAGGAAAAGTGCCGCCAGATATTCCTCCCGTTGAAAATCGTCTTCCACCAACGCAATATCAGATGCATTTTGCTTGGTCTCGAAACGAATAAAGCTAACAGTCATGATGGAATTCCTACCATTGTTCTCAAAACATGTGCACCAGAATTGACACCGATTTTCTGCGAGTTATTCACCATCTCGTAGAATTCGGGTATTTTTTCATCATGCAGGAAGACAGCTAGAGTCTAACCCCTCAAAGAAGAAAACAAAAACCTGCCCAACAACTGCTGCCCTGTTGTCAGGAATCTCCATAGTGATGGAGGAAGCCATCAACATTGAGCTTATCAGATATCTGGAAAGCTCACGAATCATCAATATTAGACAATATGGCTTCCGCCAGCGAACATCTATTGGAGAGCCTACGTCACACATTTATGGTAAACTTCATTAGAAAAACATGGGGGATATTTAGCTGTGGCGTTAGAAGTATCGAAAGCATTCGACCGTGTCACAAACTACCATAAGCCCATTGTACTTGAAGAAGCTACTGTGTTAGCGAAACATGAAACTGTTTTGAGAATTTTGTGGAAATCTCATCGGTTGTGACTGTTTTGAGGTTTTTTACATTTACCTACTATGAATTTCCATCAAGTAGGTAATGGTCGAGTCAAAACGTATTTTTTAGAGGGCGAAGGTTGAATTTTTTGAAATAGTGCTTTAACAAGAGTTTCGCGATATTCAATGAAAAAGTTAATTCTCTGAATGATCGATTAGATAATGACACGAACGAAAATTATATGCATAAACAATAATCAATTAAATGCGGAGCAAGACATATGAAAATAGAATAAGAATTGTTTTTAGACATCGATAGATGTCAGACAATCACGAAAAACGTAATATGAAACATCATTTTTCAAAATTGAAGGTGCGGTGTGGAAAGGAAAGAAGTTCATTCCAATTAGCTTAATTAACAGGAGAATCTTGCAATTATAATTTTCAACAAAAAGAAAAGTTTCTGCGTTATCCTTCCTAAAATTTATTTCAGAATTCAAGTCTTAGTTGTTCTTTATATTGTCATTACCCAAATTTTCATAGGTTTTGTAGATTTTTGCGTGACATTACTAAGTAAGCTAAACAATACGATTATATTTAGGTAGGCTATGTATGTGCAATTGTGCATGTTTATTTTGGACATGACGCAGTCGATCCTAATATATTGAATATCCTCCAGGAATGAGACTGAAATTTGAAACATTGTAAGAATATTGCTTTCTTCAGCGAATAAGTACAGACGGAAATTCTCGAAAAATCAGACAATTCCTTCAACTGAAAAATCATACCTTTTTCAGGATCAAAATTGACGTTAGTGCCATTGAAAAGATCGTTGAAGTAGTTTAGCCACAGGTTAGGCTTAGGTGGAGATAAGAGTTCGTCTATGCGATTCTGGAGGTTGCTAAAATTGTTTGCTCGAATATCCTCCATCTTAGCATTCGGATCGCTGAAATTGTTGGCAATCTGAAAGAATACTTGGAATTTGTATTTGAAACTCATCTGAATTTCTTAGACAGAAGGATATTATGAGCTGCATGTCACAAGTCAGAATTCTGAGATACAAGTAGAAATTCTAACATTGATGAGGACAGACTTCTAAGATTCAGAAACCTGATATGTACCTACACATACAAGCTGTTTCAAATTCGAATAAATATTGCCACTTATAGATATGGTGGTTATCAATCATCGCCCATTGATGGGTCTTCGTTTTTTTTTAACTAAGATATACGAGGTTATCTTAAATTTGGCAAAATCTATATTTGGTTTTTCCTGAAGACAGACCTGGATTCTGATCTGGATATTTTTCTAGTTTTGATGGAAAGAATGAAATAAGTAACATGCCTACCAAGCAAGAATAATTATATGGAGTATTTTCAAAGTTATAGCCTGGATATATCAGGATTTTGATATGTATTCTAGAATCCTGAGCAATATATGTTGCCAGAATTCTGACATCAAGCTTGGAATTTTGACTTGCAACTCAGACATAAATTTTACCTCTGCCAGTTCTTCTTCGATCCTCAATATAACATCGACCGCTTCCTGTAACTTATCAGCTTCAGCTCTTTCCCCTGTTTTATCCTTCACAATTTTTTTCAAAATGTATTTGATAATTTTCGTTTTGACTGTTATTGTTAAATTCCTTCTCTCCTCATCCTCAACTGATTCTTCTGGTTCTTTGGGAGGACTGAAAAAAAGTACTTATCATTCAATGAAGCATTTCTCTATACGAGACTTGTACATAATTCAGACTTTTGTACTTTCATTTCGAATTAAAATCAGATAAATCATTCATGTTCTGATATTTACCTTGGAAGAGGCGTTTCACTATCTGGTGTTCCCACCATTATCACGTACTCTGAGCTATTGAATATATTCACTGATACTATAGTTCCAATGAAAACATCCACTGTCATACTTTGTTTCAGTAGAGCTTCAGTTCTGAGCCAGTCGAAAGTAAAATTTTCCATTTCCTCCCCTGACAAAGAAATGTAGCTTGGGATTATTGGTAGGTCAGCATTTTCCAAGTGTTGGTAGATTGCGGATATACCGAGTTCCTCGCGAGAATCTGAAACAAGAATATTCAAATATATCCAGCTACGAAACATTTTTATGAAAGTCGCTATCACCATACTTTGAACGCGACTATGAAGTAGGATAGTCATGTGTGAGTCATGTGGGTACTCAAACGGAAGGATTCTTCTTAGATATTCCGAATGTTTTATAAAAATCACTAAAATAGGGCTGCTCAAGCAAAGGGCTCTGGAAATGATAGACAAAAGACCCATCTTGCTCTCCTTGACATAGCGAAAGCATTTGACAAGGTGTGGCATGATGGTATATCTTATACAAAATTATCGATATGGGCTTCCCTGACGATTTGATCCAGTTGTTGTGTTCATTTCTGAAAAATCGAACTCCTCAAGTAAAACTTGATGATCAACGAGCCCATTGAAGCTGGTGTTCCTCAGGGTGCAGTTTCATCTCCGCTGTTGTACAGTTTATATACTAGCGATTTGCCAAGACCAGTGATGTGCAAGATGTCGCTTTTTGCTGATGATACGGCAGTTCTTGCATATTCGACAAATTTCGAGCAAGCAGCTATGAACCTCCAAAGCGCACTGAATTCTCTTCAGGAGTACTTCCTAAGATGGAAGATCAAATTGAATCCAGGGAGCGGAGGCCTCCCAGAACCAGAATAGTCCTGGATGGTCATGAGTTAGAGTGGTCTTCACAAGTTAAATACTTAGGTGTGTGCATTGACAAAAAGCTCGCCTGGGCCCAGCACATTGAACAGCAAGTTTCTAAAGCTAAACGAGCCATTGGAGCCCTGTATCCATTTCTAAACAGACGAAGTAAATTGGGTTTGAGACAAAAATTGAATATTTATATCATGGCTATCAGGCCAATTTTACTGTATGCCTCAGTAGTCTGGGGCCACACAGCTAAATCTCATATCACCAGATTACAAACATTAGGTACAAAACAAAATCGCGAGAATGGTGACAGGATCTCCTTGGTATGTTCGGAATAAATAGATCGCCAGGGATCCGAAACTCCCTTCAATCGTGTCAGTCATTAAAGAACGAAACATCAAGACTTTCGAAAAAGCTGAGGTTCATGAGAATCAGCTTCTTCGAAATGCAGTTGATTATGACCCAGGTGATCAATCAAAGTTCAAAACACCGAGATTGTCCATAAACTAGAGAAAATATCGACATTATGACCAAATTTACTATTCCCAAGTTTTTGATATTTATTTATTCCGTTCGATCTCTTTCAATTCTCAGAATGTATTTCTGAAACTTATTTGGGGCAGAAGGGCTGTTCGCATCAAACTTCAATACCGTTTTTATTTCGTTCCATAATAGATATCAGGATAAGAGGGACTCTTCCCTGGTCTGAATAAAATAAAAGGAAAATCCAATACTATACTTATACAATCATTCCGTGCTCGTTAAACAATATACTATACCTCAACAGTAGGAGTGTACTGGAATGAACACAATACATAAGTCGTAAATAATTGCAATAGATTGATCGCGGTATATGACGTCACGTGCTGTCCCGCGTTTTTCATGTTATGAAATATAGTGAATTTCAATTATTATTTAAAAAATGTACAGAGTTCTGAGAAAAAAACTGCTTACGACAGTGACCAATTTTGTAGTAGTTCCTCTTATAATGATATGAAATGTTTCACTGAAACGAGCGAATTATTATTATTTTATATTAGCCTATGTTAGGGAGCCACTCCATAATTTGTTAATCTTCATTGTTGGATTTAATTTCAAAGTAGGTAGTATTTTATAATATAGCATGGGATTAAAGTTACCTATTATTATTCGATCTCGCTAGTAGGTTATAGCCGATTTATATAAATCTTCACTGAAATCATTTAATCTTCAAGTTGCTACCATAATACTCAAATTCCAGTTGGATTATTTTGTCAGAATGCATTGAAATAACGAAGTAGCTCAGCAGCAATTCATGTCAGTCACATCATGAGATCAAAAGCATCATTCTAGTCCCTGTTTATGGGGACTAGAAAGGACATAGAACCTTTACATGCAGTATATTCTTGTCTTATTTTTATTCTCCACGAAAACCTTGGTTCCACAGAAGAAAACCAAGAAAATCAACCATGTAGGTCAACACCGAGGTCAATGGTTATAGGCCGACCTGACGTGACATCATCACGGAGAGCTCAAGCCTTATTGTATCGGTGGCAACCCACCTTCGTCCAAGCAGGACTTGTACAAGTCCCTGATTTTCTGCAATGCTTCCGGTTCACTGTCGCTGGCATTGGCTGTCAAAACTGCGTACTCGGCTTTAGCCACCTGTTGATCAATGATATCGAATCCATCGAAGGCGGGCCATTTCTCGTAATTTGGGTGCTGTTCTATCCACCTGCCGCACGTGTAGAGATAGAAGTTGTCGCAGGGATTCACGCTGAGGTTCATGGAGAGTTTCAGGTGGGCTGCTGATCTCAAGCAGTCGTCCGATGTACAGAATGTTATCGGAGATTGAGGCAGACCCATGTCTAGAATATCAAATCATATCGTATACCGAAGGGAATATGATGAAAAAAAAATTAAATGAATACAAATGTACCTATATACAGTCAAAAGCAATGAATATGTCGATATCACCGCCCGATAGCACTTCTTCTAAGAGCGCTAACACTAACCAACCGTAACATCTTCATTGCATTTGACTGTACATACAATATGAAATAGACATGTTGTTGAATATTATTTTGAGAAAATAACACTCGTTTCGAGTAGGTAGGTATAGTCAATTGCCCACTCGGTATTATTAGTTTTTATTGGTTCTTCCACATGGCACCACATCGACCGAAAAAATAAAACTGTCAGAATACAGGTGGTTTTTTTACATATCCGAAACAGTGCAAACAATCCTGACTTGGGACTATACTGTTCCAATAATTTTTTCTATCAGAAATAAACAAAATATTCCATATTTTTCAAAATGCGCTGTCCGATGTTAGACTCAATGCACCCAAATAAAAACGATCAGCAGCATAAATAATAAATTGTCCCATGTTGGGTACATCAGCAAAACTTGAGACAGCAAGGTTCATATGTGTTTGTGTGGTCACAATTTCGTTTTTTTTTTCTAAACAAAAGAGGTTGAATATATAGAACCACCTAATATCTTTTAGCATCATGAACAAATATGTTGAAATAATATGTTTAACAGGGTTTTTAACAGGTGGAGTTTAAAACTGTCCCAAGTATGGCCAATTGACTGTATGCACATACATTTAAAATCATAGAAATAGTGTTATTGAAATTAGTCATGGATACTATATGGATAATTTAAAACACCATTCATTGACACTGCACCTAGGAATCTTCATTTCATTCAGTCGTATTTAGTAGAGAATATCAACAATTTTTTTGTTTTCATTAAATAGAATCCGGATAATTTGAAATAAAACGGAGATACGCCTTACCTTTACTATTTACAATACTAGCTGAATGTACCAAACTCAAGCAAAGCGTTACTAGAAATAGTAATGGAAAGTTCTTCCAATATCCCTGCATTTCATATACTTTTCCATTGAGCAGTGACCTGAAAATTTATATTGAAAAAAACAATTGCGAATCTAGTTTAGGATAGATAGAAAAATCATTATTCGAACATAACGATGAGACACTTACTTAGCCATGTCAGTCTGCTATAGTTTGGCCTAGTCGTATACTGAACTATATAATGCTGCCTTATCGTACTTATTTTATATTCTGGTTATGACCTTTCTAATGAACGATATTTAACTAATCCAGATAACTTCTGACCGTTTGAATCTGCTAAATGTTGAAGGAATCAAGTGATTATGCTATTATAATAATCATATGATCCTTTAAATAACGAAAAGAAAACAAGAGGATGAAGTCGATGGGAAATTATGAATGGAGGTACGTTGCTGCCTAGGAAAATTATATTTCATTAAACATCATATCAGTATTATATATACGAGAGCTATAATCAAAAATGTTCAAGATCAAGCAGAAGAAACAAATAAAGGTTTGAGAGATTGTATAATAGTTATTGAACTGACTATTTGTGTATAATAGTATACTTCTGTTCTTGGAAGATGTCTGCATAAATATGTTGTAAAACACATTGAATAATCTACCTATATATAATAGATGTCTAGAGCCCTTTTCAAACCCCTCGTTTATATTTCCATTCTAACAAAACCATGCAATCACCTAAAAATTGATATAGTTGAAAAATTATCATCATTCAGTATTATTATTTTTTTCCTGCTGATAGCCTTTGACCATTAAATACTATACTATACAGGGTGTTGCCGAATGATGAATGAAATGAGGTGTTCTATGAGATATAATGAAACGTTGAATCACAAGAAAAATTGTTTTGAAAATTTCACACCAAACATTTTCGATCAATTTGAAGCCTGTATTTCGTATCGTTACCATAGCAACTAAACAAATTTCTTGGAATTTTTTTCCTCCTTCTTGGGGAGACAGAGCATGAAATGACTCTAACATTTCAGGCAAACAAAAATTTATTTTTCCATTTCGTTTTGTTTTTTCGTTTCCTATTAACATCCATCTAATTGATTGTCCCAATTTCGGAAATACCCAGTATGTATATTCCATTTACGACTATTACATAATGTGAGCACTATAATACTTCTTGTGGCTTTGGCAGTATAACGCTATATATTATGCCCTTAGATAGTTATTTATTATACAAGGGAAAAAAGTAGTAGATTTTAGCTCCAGGTTGTGTTGTCTCCCGTCGCGTAGCGGAGGGAAACAAAAAACCGTGAGCTAAAATCTAATATTTTTCCCGTGTACCTATAATACACTATTTTTTTCTGTGACAGAAGGAAGGACGAATCAATATTGAGAAGATATTACATTATTTTGAAATCTGAAAATGATCGACGTGACATTTCAAGTTTTTAACAGTATAGGGACACCTGCGTTGTAGGCATCTTTATCATTCTTTAGAAGTAATCAAATATCTAATGTCACTTTTGTCAGTCTAATTCTGTGATTTGATTTCAAAAAATTGCGAATTCAGTGGTTGTTTAGTAATATACGTAACCGCGAAGTCGAATGGAAGATGAAAGGACTTGCAGCTCTTTCTCGGAGACGGTATTATTGAATAATTTTTCGGAACTATAGCACAACAAAAGCCATCAACAGTTTATATATATGTGATATATATCCCGGGAAAAAAGTACTCACTTTTTTTCCACAGGAAAAAAGTAATTAATGAAAAGTGACATTTTATAACCTGCCAACAGAGATGAAATGCCAAACTTTTTTCCCGTCACAGAAAAAGACTATTAATCCTACGTCATTATTATATTCCCTGAGGATAAAGTAAAGTATTTTTTAAGTCATGGAAACCATCCATTCTCAAAGTGGCCCAGTATTTTTCAAAGGGAGAAAAACAATACTCAAAGTCGGTCGACCACAAAATTTGTGATGTCAATGTCAAATCATCACTTCCATTTCACCTACGGCGTTGTCTTTCCTGTTGATGGCCTGACCGCTGATGAAGCTCCGTTGAGTTGATTAATTAATCAAAAATTTTTTTGAATTTTCTAATGTTGAACTTACTCATTGTAATGTTCTTTTGGATTTTCAGCCGTTTTAAATTTTACTAGTTCCAATTTGGACGGATGATTCGATGCTGACCTACTAGTTAGTTTTTAATTAGTATATTTTTCTCCATAAGGTATGTTCTTTCGCAGCCACCGTATTGTCTAGATTTAACAACTTATAATTTTCTAGGTACTTTTTTACATTGTGTCTGAAGATGGCCGTTGAGCCGAAACTATAGTCACTCCTTTTATTAAATTTTGTGGTCGACCGACTTTGAGTATTGTTTTTCTCCCTTGGAAAGTATTTTTTCGCATTTATTCTCACGAAATTTAACTCTCGCCACTGACGTGGACGAATCTGGTTTTCAGAAATATTTATATTTTTCTACAAATATTTCTTAAAAGTAGAAAGGAATCTAATGATTTGTGAAATATCGGTTGTTGAATTCTGTAATTTCTATTTCACAAGTGATATATACTTGAACACAAATGCGAATGAAAACTTTATTCATATATTAAAAGATCAACAATAAAATTCTAATCTAGTATCACACAGCTCATTCATTATGACCTAATCATATTCATAACAAAATATTTAATTAAAACCACGAACTAGTAGTATTTATCTTTTGTTCACCAAATTTTACATTTTTTCTTTGGATTCATGCGGGATCCTGCAGGACAGTTGAAGTGCCTAGAGAAGTCCTCAGAGTTCTGCAGTGTTGCTATCACCCTAACAGAGTTTGGACAATGTTCGTCATACTCCAGCTGATCTTTCAAATCCTCAATCGTCGTTGTTTCACACCATATCTGAATAAATAATAAAAGAAATACATATAAAATTAAAAGACTTCATATGATGATTTAACAGGGACAGGAAAAGAAAGCTTTGAATCAGCTTCCTTCCTCTTTTGATATTATGCCTACCAAGTGTCAGATATATTATCATCAAATTCTTCTCACAGCCAACTTTGTCAATTTGAATGAAAAGCAAGTCAACAGCGAATTAGGAAACAAATGCCACTTTGTAATACATGGTTGAATAGAGAATTTGAAGACAAATGAGATAATAGACTGAAAAATAATACAGGGTGAAGGTGGTTGACAATGTAGCTGAGTTCATAAAGTATTATCAATTATGTAGCTCTTGTGATTTTTAAAATGTTATCTTTTCAAGTACAAGCTACAGGCTGCTACATGTCTCCTATGTCACCCAGTATTCTTCAGCAATTTAGTCTGGTTTTCACGATAATTCTACTCACACTGCCGTATGCTATGAAGAACATTTGGTAGTTGCTGAAATCTTCGAAACCTGGCAATTTGGGTTCTTCGCCAAAAGTTTTGACATAACTTTCATAGGCGCTGTATGCTTGGTTTAGACCACCATTATCTGCTAAATTTTCTCCAAGTGTCTTTCGACCTTTCACCTAAAAACAAGATATTCAAGTTGGATAATCAGTGTGGTACATCTTTTCGAATTGAAGGAAGTATATAGAGGGTACCCAGTTGACATCTCGAAAACTATTTAACCTACATTCGTTGAATGTGGAAATCTTATCGTTTGTGAAGTTTTTAACATTTACTATGGTTTTCCATCAAGTAACGACCCCGAGTCAACTCAAAACTACAATCTTTAAATTCGATTTCGAACCTCGAAAGACCCTGTGAACTATGGATATTACGTGCGCGTGTTCCGAATGGCCAATCTCTTGTGCCACCCTGTTTATCTGAGGATACTCACATGTTCCTCAACACCTTCAACTGTATAATTATCGTACTGAGCAACAAAACATTCAGTGAGATTTTCGAAGGTCTCGATAGTCTTGTTAGTCCACCATTGTACGTAGTTACCATATTTGTCATGTTTTCTTCCTAAAATATGAGAGTGAAGTCATTTTTCTTCAAATGACATAGAAAGTGGTTTTTTGATGACACTTGACCGGCACGAAAGTCATACTTTCTCTGCCTAGGCAGGAAATTACTGCCAACAGGCAGGAAAAGTTTGTTGAATAATAATTCGAATCAAATTGGTTTATCAAAATTGACAATGAGTTTGGGTGAACACAGAAAGATGGATTATTTGGAGTTTGCGTGAAATTGGATGGACTTGGAGAAAAAATTGTATATCTTCTGATGTAATCCATACTCGAAGTGGAGAAGGATGACGAGAAAAAAACTCAAAGTCGTCTCCACAAGTTTACTGGCGTAATGTACAGTTAATTCTGCTACTAACTACTAACTTTATTATAGTACTATGACTGATGAGTGATGATGACCATTTAAATGGTCGAAACATATCTCAATCAAAAGTAATGAAGCAGAATTAAGTGTACATTTCGCCAGTAAACTTGTGGAAACGACTGAGTTTTTTTCTCGTTGTTAAAAAATTATATATTTCGCACTGCAGAAATCAGAGCCGCACTACACTCGGCTATGAACTATCAGCTGCTCTGCCTAGTAAAACAAATAACTATTGTTTTACTAGGCAGCAAAGTAGTAGATTAACTGCCGCGGCTGATATTTCTTCTACATTTGATGCCGTGAGAAACATAATTTTTTTTCCAAATGTTATAAATCCAATTTTGTGTAATTTTTTATTGAAAATTTCACACCAAACATTTTCGTATTTCGTATCGTTACCATAGCAACTAAACATATTTCTTGGAAATTTTTTCCTCCTCCTTGGGCGACGGAGCATGAAATTACACTGGACAGTTTTTGACGTTTATAGGTTAAATGACATTCACATTCAACTTCAGGTTATTTCGAGTTCATTCTATAAGTCATAAATAAAAATCATTTATCAACAATTTACCATATAATATTATGTAGGTATTTTTTTTTAATGTTTTGGTACCCACGAAAAGGGATATCCTGTAATGTTCAGAGAACATCGTGAAAACCAAGAAAAATAAGGTAGGAATTGGTGTTCTTCTTGAATTTCTTGGGGTTATATATTTGCAATATAATATTTCAGTGTGAAATTTTACCGAATATCACTTTTTCTCGAACACGAATATTTAGAAAATTCGTGTTCTCGAAAAAATTTCCGGAAATAATTAAAGCTCTCGTGATATTATTAGTGAAAACTCCACCATTTTGTGCTCACCCAATGCCAGTGTCAATTTTGATTACCTAATTCATTCAAATTACTTGGAACGTTGCATAGCAACAAACTTTTCCGGCCTAGGCAGAGAAAGTACACATTTCCTGTCTGTCAGGAAAAAGCCACTTCATATGCCGCTTGGAGAGGAACAATTTTTCATTCATATACCGGTGGTTGAAGAAAATTTTGGAATACCTCTACCAATACAGAATCACGAACTAACACCGAAGAGCGAAGAGACATTAGCGAGTATTTTTTGAGCTTACGAAGATATTTGCGTTTGAAGTTTCATATGCCCTGTGACGGCTACATTCTCTTTCATCATGGCAACATTTTTAAAACAATGCTCTCGCCTCAAATGTAGGACTTGTTTTTTTTTCGCCGAGGTGGTTGAAATCTTTTATAGACATCAAATGGGTCCAATCCCCCATATGATAGTGTGGGAGTCCCCTCCATGGTATACCCACTAAACACTCCACCCCGTTGTAGGCTCCGACGACACTTAGGCCTAGTGGCCCATTGTATCTCACCTACATGCCGTTATCAATTTTACCACATACGACTCATGGTGCCTATTAAGGGCCACTTCAATATATAAGACCCTTCTCGTTCAGGTTCCTGAAGATTGCTCTTCCGATCCCTGTACTCGTCTACGAAGAAGGCCCCGTTAGCGACACCATTCCTCGGTGCCATTCATCCATCGCCACGGGTTCCCACAGCTTGGATTAGGTTGCCAGAGCCTCGTTAACCAGTCCTCGACTACCTAGACAAACACAGATGTCCACAAATTGTCCCATCTGATGGCAGAAGATAGCAAAGATGGTCCTGAAATGCATCATCTGCCAAGCGGCCGCGGCCTGCCTTCCCCACACCACTTGATGATGGTGAGGCTGGGCTTGGAGGGGAAGAGGAAAAGAGAAGTTGGTCAAGAAAGTCCGATAGAAAGATTGAAAACGGAAGAGAGAAGAGGATATCACCCAAGACAAGTTGAAGTATGGTGAATATCCGGCTAGGGTACCTCGGGTTCACCATTCCCGTACTCACAAGTTTTGAGCCCCTGAGGGGATTGCCAGAGCCTCGTTATCAATCCGCGGCCACATAAGCAGATGTTCACAAATTGCCCCATCCTCGCACTCAGATGTCCACAAAACTGTCCCATCTGAGTGATGACAGCAAAGATGTTCCCAAAATGCTCAATCTGCCGAGCAGCCGCGGCTTGTCCTCCCCGCACAATGGTGAGGTTGGGCTTTAGGGGAGAAGGAAAGAAGGAGAAGTGACCAAGGGAGGCCGATGAAGAAAGAGATTGGAAACTGAAGAGTGAAGAGGATACCATCAAAGACAAGTTGAAGATCAATGAGTATCCGGCTAGGGTACCTCGGGATTGCCATTCCCGTACTCACAAGTCGTGTGCCCCTGAGGGGATGTAGGACTTGTGGTATTACCTTTGATTATACTACTCACCGATGTTATCGAAACCATGAGTTAATTCGTGTCCTAATATCGTACCTATGGATCCATAGTTCAAAACCCTGGAAATTCAGATTTGAGATTTAGGCATCATCAGATTTGACAGAATAATATTACTCACTCGAGTCCGAGATGATACATAGGAAAACTCAAAATGGCCATTGGAACATCTAGAAGAACATAATGAATATTGCTGATGTACACAAATTTTTATAGAGATTTCTGAGATACTCACTTATTGCATTATCTGAAAATGAGTTGAATGCGTTTACTTCAATCGGTTCACTGTACCAGTCCCGTATATGTTGTTTTCTGAGCTTATTCAATTGTTTCAAATTAATGGAAATTATGGTATTGATCATGTTATCCAAATATCTGTCTGATTTAATTATTACCTACAATGACACCAAAATACAATAATTATAAAAATAGATATCCCATAATCCAATTAGCTCAACAGAATAATCCTAAAATTATTATTATGAAAAAAAAATATTTGTATGTAAACTATCTTGATTGACAGATTAATCTTGCTATCAGCTTGATCTTCGCATTATAAATTTTATTCCAAAAATTATCTTTGCTTAGATGTTGCTGAAAATTGATGAAATATTTCCTAGTGAAATCACATGTTCAGAGTTTTTTAACTTGATAAAATGTTCAAGATGTGATCCTGAATAATTTTGCCTGATGACTTCAAGTACGTAAGTCAGTTTTATAGATATAAATAAATTGTATTTACATCATCATAGTACTTGTCAAGTTCCCCTTTCTCGAAAAGCCAATCAGGATAACCGATAAACGTTATCATCTCTTTGCTCTTCTCCAACGTTACTTTTTTCGTAGCACTATCCATCCAATTGATACTATTCACATGTTTGACAAACGCACTTTTCAGCTCATGGACCATCCTTTCAACCTGTAAATGAAAAAGAATATGCCACAGCAGTCAAGCGAGTTTTTGTGAAGAAAAAAATAGATATAGGAAGAGGAAATAGGCATTCTCAATTTTCTCGTATTATTGCATAGACTTCAAACTCCAATATATCAAAAAATACATTTTTCCTGTTCATAATAATAGTTTTCAAGTTGCGCTAGTATACGTAGTGATAACATGACATGTCTGAATCAATTTTTGTTCACCAGTTGATCAATTTTTTTTTATCGCTTGAAGCGCACGAAAGGGAATCCCTATAATGTTCAAAGAACATCGTGCGTTCCTAGGAAGGATAGGGATAGGAGGTAGGTATTGGATTTTATTTTGAACTTCTGGAGATTATATGTTGTTGGGAATACTTCCACAGGCAATGAATTCCAGAGCCTAGCCGTTCTATGGATGAAGGAGTTTTGATAAAGTACCCTGATAATACACTTTTTGCCTTTATGCTATGGAAATCATGGCGAACTAAAGGAGCACACTTTTATAGATAGTCAAACTGAAAAGGAATAAAAAATAAAATAATAAGAGTGTGTTGATATATACAGAACATAGAAATTCTATGTTTTATTATTTTATTTTCTACCTCTTTTCAGTTGGGTCATCTATAAAATGGTGTTTCTTTAGTTTTTTAAACTACCATTTTGTTTCTTCTTTCTAGTTCGACTAACTACAAAAGCGTGTTTTTTTAGTATTCTTATATTTTTTATTAGTACGCCATTTTTACGAGAGAATCATAATCTCCGACCTCAAAAACCCCCAGATACTAATTTTTAATAGAATCGAATCATGATTACAAAACCCGTCCGCCATATTATATCCGCCAGAAAAATCCAGATACCAATTTCAAATGGAATCAGATCGAATAATTACAAAACTCGCCCACCATATATTGGATACGCCGTCTTGAATTTTCCAATTTTGATCAAAGAATCATAATCTTGAACCCCAAAAACCCCCAGATACCAATTTCGAATAGAATTGGATCATCATTACAAAACTTGTATACATATTGGATCCGCCATATCAAATTCACAAATTTTGACAAAATCATCATAATCTAAGACGCCGGAAACCTCCAGATACCAATTTTGAATAGATTCGGATCATAATTACAGTACTGGCCCGCCATATTGAATCCGCCATCTTGAATTTACCAATTTTGACGAGAAAATCATAATCTCCGACCTCGAAAACCGCCAGGTAACAATTTTGAATATAATCGGATCATAATTACAAAACTCGTCCGCCATTTTGGAGCAGCCATTTTGGAGCCGCCATTTTGGTTTTCACTCTAACAAGAATTTCATGATGCATCGCCACCAGAATTATGTACAACTGCTAAATTTCAAATCAATCGGTCTGTTTGAAGTGGGCCAGAGTCCAAAAGAGTCGGTTACATATAAACCTACAGGTGAAGCTAATAAAAGGGTGTTAAAATTATAAAATGTTGCATTTAAAAAATAAGTAGAATTTATATCAACTTGCCAATACTCATTTTCGTTCATTTTGTTTTTTTCAAACACTTCAAACTCTGCACATAAAAATCTAAATTCAAAAAGACACCCTATACTAAAATGTTTTCTCTTACTTTCGGTTTCGTTGTATTTGGAAATGATTCGTCTGCTAGGGCATAACTAACTGCATATCCCATGTAATTCTCAACAAGTAAAGCACATTCCAATGATCTGAAAATGTTTGCATTATATTATACGAGTTCGTATTCAATACGACCCTATCTGGGTCAAGATTTGAAAACAAAAATGGTAGAAAAAAAGCATTGAAAGTAGTTATCTTCATACAAGTGCAAAAATGAATCATTCACACAAAATATGATATGCTACTGTACAATTGTTACCCAATAGTAACTGGCTCTAATACAAAATATATCCAAAATACCTCATTATCATTTACAAGAAGCATCAATATACGTAATACGGTCATCCTCAGTAGAACTGAAGAGGAAGGAAGGAAAGATTAGCCAACACTTAAGTAATTTTTGGGATATTCTCCATATATAGCATTAAGTAATATTTACTAGTTGCGGTTACGTTATAATTACGTCGTTACTACGTATTTACGACCGAAATGGGGAACAAATCACGAGTAATTATTACGGTTTGCCGACGTAGCGGGAACTCACACAATTACGTAATGCTTACGACCCGTCGACGTCGAAATTACGTAAAGATGTAGTAAATTTTCCTACCTGACTTTCTATTTCTTTTCCACTTCATAAAAATATTATTTTCTCTCTTTATTATTCTTCATTTCATCCATGAAGTTCACATTCACGAAAAATGAACCAGTCCAATAAGCCTAACCATTCAATAAATAATACAAGGACAAACACGCGAAATAATTGATACTCGAACTTGAAAAATTCGAACAACATTCAGTTTTTCGATAAATGTGATGATTTTGCCTCGAAATTCAAGATGCGCCCACAAAATACGGCTCATTTTACCAAAAATATGGTTTTATTTCATTCGGCTATTTTTCAAAAATCATCGTAAATCATGTTAATTTCCATTATTATGCAATTTGTGATCGAACGAATGCTATTATTCTTCATAAAATGATGTTTATCAACAAGAAAAACCAAAATTATTTCCTGTTCAAATGGTTATCACATCAATCAATATGGCTTCCAATCGAAAATGAATCAGAAAGTTACTTTTGGAACTCGTCAGTTATGATAACCTATGTATTGGTAACTTCAACTGAATATAATTACCGAAAAGTTGTTTCAACTATGAAGGAATTGTTTGAGTAGGAATTACCAATATGTTACTTGAAATATCACCAAGAATTGACTAAATTATTAGGTGATCGATCAAGTAACGACAACGTCGTAGAAACCTAATTGGTGACCATAGAGTAATTGCAACTGTGAAGCCTTCTTGGGGTGGTAAGCGTTACCGTAATAATATATCCAAAGTTCCGAAACCTTAAGAGTAGTTTTGAGGAGTGACAGTTTCGAAATAGTTACTTCGTAATAAGCCATGAGAATTTCTCACTTTGAAGTTATTATCTAGTGTAAAAACTACGTAATTTTCACTCACTAAATAACTATCACTGACATTTATACTATGAAGTTCTGAAATAAGTGATAAATACGTTATTATCACTAAATATAGGTAATAGTTTCTTGAACCATGGTGCCTGTGACTGAAAATGCTAGTTGGGTTTCGATGCTTGGTATTACTATCAACAATAACCTTTCTTGGGAAAATCACGTGAGATCAATTGCTAAAAGTGCATCCCAAAAACTTGGTTTCCTGACTCAGGCCAGGACCTATTTCACTTCCAGTCAGCTGCTCATAATCTATAAGGCACATATCCGACCTGTCCTGGAATACTGTTCCCATATTTGGAGTGCAGCATCCAAAATACCCTGAAACTGTTGGATTCTGTCCAAAAAAGGGCAATTCGTCTCGTGGGTGATGCCTCGCTCACAAACTCACTCACTTCTCTGGAACATCGTAGAAAAGTTGTCGATCTGGCTCTATTTTCTAGATATTTTCATGTACGATGCTCTTCTGAAATACCAACAATTGTTCCTCCCTTGGCAGTCCCCGCGAGATTAACCCGTCGAGTTGAGACTTCGCACCTCTTCGTGGTCACTTTGGAGACCTGCAGAACATCTCTTTCCAAAAACTCGTTCATCCAACGAACAGCGAGGCTCTGGAACACATTGCCAAGGAAGGTGTTCAAAAAGAAGAATTCAAGAAGAACACCAATACCTACCTGATTTATCTTGGTTCTCACGATGTTCTCTGAACATTACAGGATATCCCTTTTCGTGAAAACCAGAACATTAAAAAAAATACCAGTGAGTGCGAAAGAAATTGGCGATATCCTATCTCGCATTGGCACGAGATTTAAAGAAAATCATAATATACCTATTACTCACTTCAGATCGGTTTGATAAATCAAATGTTCACATTGATCTTAATAAAGATCATTCGATGAATCAAGATTAAAGACCCATCCCTAGTTTAAAATTGTTTGATCTACTTCACACGATGTTCACTGAAGCAAAACCTCTATCTTGACCGTGAATTCAATGGGTGTAATTAGAGGAGAGGATGGTGGTTTCTGGAGAATATCCCGGAGCTAATCTTCATTTCTTGTTCAGTTCTACTGAGGATGACCTAAATTAACCACATCAGTCTCCCGAATTTCGTTTTGGTACCTAGCTCTGGCAACGCTACTAGATCCACTACTGAAAACGCTCATTTGTTTACTGATGTACTCGACTACATCAGAAGACGTATTGATGATCATCGCATAAACAGTCGCCCACCACATGTACAACTCCAAATTGATACCAGGACTGTCCGAGACGAACTTCATGATCTTGTTCAGATAGAGCAGGTCCATGTCAGTGACGTACAAAAGGTCCTTCTCGGGGTTTATGGTGATATTCGTGCCATCGAAGAGGTTGCTGAGGTAGTCGTTCCAAAGGTTCGGTTGCGGAATTGCCAGGTTCTTGTCGGTCATCTTCTGAAGAGCTTCGAAGGTTACAGAAAATGTGTTTGTGTCTTCTGTATCTGGATCCGTACAGTTAGCCACGATCTGAAAAATATTCATTTGTAGAAGATAAAAATACGGTGCTGGATTATCCGGTCCCGTATACAGGGTAGGGCATTGGTGCGTCGGAGCTCGATTGCTCGAGTTCTATGATAGCTAGAAACATGATTCAAAAACGAATGTGAATGAGATAACAAGGTCCATATTTAGTCCATAACTAGAAATTATTGCCGCATATACAGGGCGCACCTAAAATAATCTACAGGGTCGGGATCAATTTTTTTTATTGGAATGCCCAGTATATTTGCATATGCATTCTAATCTGTTATTGAAACATCGAAAGTTCGATCAATAATTTAGTAAACCAATTTTTTATTGAAAGAATCGATGTCAGAACCAAAGCAGACATGGATAGGTCATAATTATGCTAAATATTTACAAAGTAGAGACGGAAAAAATTTCATTTCTCAATTATTCTGGATTTGCTTTCAATGTGGCATGAATTTATGAGATACTTGAGAAATGCAAATTTTGTCTCTTTTTACTTTGTGAATAACTAGCATATGAAATTTTTCTGTTTGCTTCGATTCTGGTATCGATTCTTTCTTTGAAAAAATTGGTTCACTAAATTAATAATTGGACTTTTGATGTTTTAATGACAGATAAGAATCTTAATCGATCAAAATCGCCAACCTATAATTTTCAAAGATCAATAATTCAAAAATGGTTATGAATATCGATAAATGCATGTTCAGATAAATATGTTAGTGTTTCGATTTTATATCAAATGGCCAAAAAATATATGGGGTGTTCCATTTGAAAAACTCGTGAAAAATCACTTCGAAAAGTTCCGAATTGAAAAATCATTTTCAGCCACCCTATATCATTTCAGGGCCTGAAACATGATCAGAAATGTCACTCATCTTTTCAATGAATGATATTGAGATTATTTTTTCTCAAATTTTATAATTGTGACAACAGTGATATTTTCGGTAGGCATCTGCAGATGACATTATTTCGACGAAAAAATTCATAACTTCGATATGAACGAGATATAGTCAACGATATCATAGGAGTGGATGAAGGTCACAGGGATGCTCAAAAAAATATGCAAATATACAGGGCATTCCATTAAAAAAAATGATCCCGACCCTCTAGATTATTTTTGGTGCGCCCTGTATATGCGGCAATAATGTCTAGTTATGGACCTTGTTGTCTCATTCACATTCGTTTTTGAATCAGGTTTCTAGCTATCATAGATGTCGAGCAATCGAGCTCCGACGCACTAATGCCCCACCCTGTATATTAGTGATTAGTGGGTATAATTCAAGATCTGATAATGTAATATGTATTTTCTACTCTAGATCTATCCTTGCCTCACCGTTCTGTACAGAGCTTTAAAAGTCACGTTGAAAAGAGAAAGGGTCATCGGTATGGCTGCATGTGCAACAAAACAAAGATGAATATATTTTGTTCTACATGCGTGCGTGATTCACCCTATATACCCTCACGCAATTTAGTGTGGGAAGTGCAATTTTCCCGCAGAAGTGCGGGAAAAACATTTATACAGGGTGTCTTTAAAAGGTTGGGACATGGCTCAGCTGCGTGGACTCATGGGATGAAAACGAGTTGATTTAGGCCAACTTACCTATATCCAAAATCGTCTCGTTGAGTTGGTACAAGGCGTTGAAGTGTTTTGGGAAAAAAAACAATTTTGCTCATAAAAAGAGTAGGCTGAGATCGATTTTTTAAATTATTGGCATGGCATGTTCTGTGACTGTAAGTCACGTTCTGAGATTTTCTTGATCATCAGTGACCTGCAAGTGTTTCAAACAACCATGTTGCCATACACATTTGGTGATAACTTTTCAGAGGTCAGAATGGAGATTTTCAGTTTTTTTTCAGAAAGATATTCCCTTCAGAGATATTTTTTGTATCGTGTTAATTCTTGATAAGTCTCGAGGTTCATTTGCAAATAAATAATTTCTGATCTGATGCATCTTACACAAATTCACACTAAAAATTCAAATCGAATGATTGAGCTGATTTAATGGTTCCTTGCGTGCCACTCTCAACCTGACTAACTTAACTACAACCATTACTTTTGAAAACTTGAGATTGAAAACCTCTGATTGATAGGTAGGTACTACCTTTGTTTTTTTAGTGAAAATTTAAGTGTGACTTGAGAATGTTTTCCCTTCAATTTCCTCCCTTTAATTTAGGCCTTAGGCACTACCTTGGAGTTTATAATGTCATTTAATCGTTGGGAAAATTCACTAAATTGGAGTACACTGGAATTACTCCCGCGTAACCAAGAATTGGTTCATCTGAGCAAGAAAAAAAAATCCCAAAAATTCTCAAAATCTATGGCGCTAATACGATGTCGTACCTTTTCACTTTCCTGCAAAGAACTTGAAAATATGGCGAAGGTTTCATAGACAATTTTGGCGTATCGCTTAGGTGTATTCACCAAAATTTGCATAATTAACTGAATCAGCTGTTGAGCTGAAACAGCAACTATCTGACAACCATTGGGACAACTCTTGATTATGTTATGAGGATATATTATCAAAGTTGTTGTTGGATTCGTTTTGACATTGATGTTACGTCACAAAATGATCAATATGTCAGTGGTCATATTATCGACTCATTTTTTGTTACCTCTTCTATGGCTTCTGAAGTATCTATTATTATGCTAGCGGCTTTCTGTAGTAATTCGTCGTTTGGGACATCCTTGGTATTGTTGAGGGCAAATTGTTGCAAAACATATTTGATGATATTAGTATTGATGGTTTTTGACAGTTCCTCATAGGATACCTCAGTTTCATCATTCTTATCCTGTTTATTTATTATGGAACTTCCAGTCTGCTTTTTCGTCTTCTTCAATGGACTGAAATTATGCAACATTCTGATCAATAAAACGAGAGTTTTTGAAAATATCAACGTAACAAAGGAAATATCTAAACGGAATGATATCTTTTGGATCGTTAAAATTCAGCTGATTTCTGAATAGAATCATATTTAATGATATTAATATTGATAGATTTTGCTAATTCCTCAAACGAGACCTCAGTGTCACCATTCGTATCATTTGTAGAGTGATATAACTTCCAATTTTCATTTTCAACTTTTTCTGTGGACTGAAATTATGGAACGTTCTCATCAATTTTGATTTGATGGCCATAAAACATATGGCTTTCTGAAAATATCAATGTCAATGAATAATGAATGAACCATCCAAATATCTGTTGTTCGGTTAAATGCTGCTATTTTCTGAATGGAACGATCATCTACCTATCATAAGTTGATATTTTTGGTGAACTTTTTCGGATAATTGAATCAAACTGAAATATCATTATTGACTTGCATAATTGATAATTTTCATTAACTCATTGGAATAAACTCTAGTATAAAATACACTGAGGTGCATAAAGATAACGCCAAATTCAATTGATAATTCAGGTGAGGGATGCAAATACATCAGGTTATATCTGATAACTCTAATACATTCGGTGTGCCAATTCTAACAACATCAGATGTGTTTACCTTGGTAATGGGCACTTCTGGTATATTTGCCCGATATAAATAACGTTTTCGGACCCATTGAAAATATTGGCATCTACTGCTGCTCCGATAAATATATCCATCATGAAGATCTGTTTGATCCTCGTCTCACTTTTCATCCAATCGAATATGAAATTTGCTTTTTCTGCCTCCGTTTTTGTGATGTAACTAGGAAGCAGAGGCAGATTCACCCTTTTCAGATACTGGTACATGGGAGTCATGCCCAAATCGTCAATAGCATCTGAAAATATCATGAAAAGACTTAACCTTCATACAGGATTCTTAACTTCAATATACCTACACCAACAGTCCTCATTCTGAATGGAACACCCTGTATTTCATCACATTTTTGGAATCTACGAGTCAATTGATGATTTTCGACCGTTTACAAATTACCACGATTTTTGTAGAAAATTCTGAATTTGCCCTAGTATACAGGGTGTTTCAGATATGAAGGTACATACGATACCTGTGGAAAGAGGACACTTTGATGGTTCCAAATGACTCTCCCTTGATGTATCTACGGTCTCATATAACTGAAATACAGGACGTTTTCTTGATATTGGCAAAATTTCTATCTGATGGTCATCCAGATCCACAAAATTTTGCCATACAGTGATGTTTTTGGAATAAAATAAGTTTTCTGTTCTTTATTAAGACAAACCTGATGAGTGATATAAGTCGAATATTTCTACCAAGTATGGATAGATTATACAAAGTGGTTAAAAAAATATGACCAGATGAAGATTTGCCAAAAACAAGATAACGTCGTCCTGTATCTCATTTCTGCTCAGGATAGAGATCGGCACATGTGCCGTTCAATAAACTACAATTTTTTTACATCCCTTTGGGACATATATATCATTTCGTTGTCAGATGACAGTCAAAATTTATCGAAAATAAGAAAATGTTCAACATATTGAATGACAAACCCGGTATTTTTCAATGGATTAATCAAGTATGTACCTACTGGTTGTGGAGCAAATTAATTTCCTGTTACTCCCATACTCCTCCCATCATTGTAAACTGCAATTTTATTGATCCGCTTCGTCATGAAATATTCATCGAGGTTATATTTGACGTCTAAAGTACTTATCCTCTTCCTTTTATGAACTTCCTCATATCAATATTCATTGGATTATGAATTTTGCGAAGGGCTCGCAATAGAAAATTTTGAAATTTTCACATATTGGGATCTATAAGATTATCACTGAATTGTTACTTATATTCACTGATAATAATACTGCCCTGATAAGCAAATTTAATAATTGTCGAACCGAGATAAACAATAATGTTGAGTAATGTAATTCAATGTTCTTCGTGGTATATAGCCAGGAAAGTAGTTGTTTTTCTCTCGTAACCTACCAATTTCGTTCATTTATGAACATTTGTCGAAATGACTGAGCTTCACGTATTTATTTAATATTGTTGAGTCCCAAAGGCTTTATCCAGCTTCATTTGGAGCAGCTAAGCAAGAACATGGCGAATATATTGAAGTATCAGGTCAATAACGGCTAAATATCAAGTGAGCTACCGACCTGAACATGTCTGTCCATTTAGCGGATTTCGCGTTCAGGGATCTGTTCTTTTTTTACCATGCCACGCCCATTCCCCGTATACTGCGACATCTATTGAACAAATTTTCAAGTGTTTTTACGCTAACATTCAGGCAGCTCACTAGATATTTAGCCGTCATTGATCAGGTATTCCTTTTGCGATGTTTCTGCTAAGCAACGGCAATTTACTGTGTTCTTTGCTCAGTTTGGCCAATGATATTTTCAAATGCAGGTTTTTTGAAAATAATCAATAATTATTATTTAGAGTCATTTTACGATAATCTTGCCTAGTTAATAGTTATAAATCAGTACAACCTACCTATATATGAAAAAGGTTCTAACCCATTTTTTTTAGCAAAAAACGGGAAATATACAAGATGAGTCATAGCTCAAGAGTTATATTGGCCAGTCAATATCTCGGATGCTATTGGAATTACGGCTTTGAAATGGTGAGATTTTCAATAGTCAAACGCTCAGTATATTTCTCTTGTAGAACGAATATAATTCAACGTCACATTTAAATACGTTTATGATTTCAATTGAATGATGACATTTGTTACTATATCGTTTCTTGATGAAGTTTTCATTATCAGGAGATGGAAAAAAATGTCCTACCTGTCTATTTCAAGACTTACATGACCTACTTGATCCATATGATATATTATGATATTATCACATTGTCAATAGCATTAGCTCATAAGTATCACATTCAAATTGTTAATCTGAAAGTATTCAGTTCTGCATACAAATTAATCGAATTATGTTGAATGCATATTAATGTAGGTAGCTTGATACTTTACGAAATTATAAGTATGTACCTATTGCCCAATAATTCAGTTGGTCTGGATGAGGTCAAAAGTATAAATCGTATAAGAGAATTGAAGGGTGATTGAGCCATTTTGAACGTCTATTGAAAATTTGTAAACTCTCCTTCATGGGCGTACATATAGTCTCTTCCGAGTAGGTATTTCTTCGAACAGAATATTCGTCACCAATGTAAAATTCAACTAATAGAAATAAATTCTGATGCAATTGGCATTTCAACCAGATATATCTGAAAACTCTGTTTCAGCGTGTTTTCAATACACTATTGGTCATATTTTTTTATTGTCATGTTTGGTCAGACATTTCATCGTTATCTACGATAAATATGCCAAACTCCGATTCTTCCAGACACTCAGAGCTTCACTATTTAGGTACAGGAATACGATATATCATTTTGAAGGAATTTCGATTGTCTTTCAGTATGTTCCATAATATTTAAAAAAATTACTTTTCACTATTTTTGTATCCAGCGAAAAATAACGAATTTAAGCGACCCTGTATAACACAGAACAAACTCCTCCATTCGAAACTATCATACCAGGATCTTGGCATGCTACGCCAAAACTTCCAAGTTTCTATTGATTTGGATACAGCAGTAGTAAAACTTGAATTAGAGCTAACTCATGTGGTGCTCGCACTAAGTATTCAAATTGTTAGTTGTTTCTGATAGAAGTGGCAACACTGTATCGATGAAAATATTTTAGACGGATAGAGAATTTTCAATTATTAAACCATCCCAATTTTCAGAATGTTCTGTCTTTTCGTTCTCCAGATACTTCTAATAGGCCCTCAACCGTGGATCACCCTGTATAGGAATCACAACAATCGTGGTTAAAACACAATGTTACACAACTGGAAAAGGAGTAGTTCAAGAGTTTGGCAAAATTTTGATTCGATTGGCTAGGTTAGGTTAGGTTTGGTTGACCAACAAGTTGAATTTTCTATGACATCTTTTGTCTCACCTAGAGTTTCTAAATGCTAAATGTACTTGACACCTGCTGTTTTGACGTTTTTATGTGCAAAAAACGTCAAAACAGCAGTGTCAAGTACATTTAGGAACTCCAGTCTCACCTACGTCCATACAGGATTTGTAAAAATCCCTACTTTTCCTCAAAGCTTCCGGCTCGTCCTCGTCCTTGTCGACGCTAGCCTTGGTCAGCGCATTGAGCGAAGCTATCGCGACCTTCTCGGTGATGGTGGTGAAGCTGGAAAAAGAGCTCCACCAACCATGGTTGGGGTGCTCTTCGGACCATTTACCGCACGTGTACCGGTAGAAATCCTCGCAAGGATCCGCGGACAGGTCCAGGGAGAATTTCAGGTTGGTGGCAGTTCTGAGGCATTCGTTGGAGATGCATATGTTCTCTTTCGATTTCGTATCTGAAATTGCAAGATGCATGCACAAAGCAAAATACATAAACTGGTATTTTTCTTATCGGTACAGCTCTTTCTTCTGATTTCAAATATAATATACTTTTTACGTCGGCGGGAGTAGAAGTTAGTTTCTCAGGTAACAAAAGACGGGCAGAAGTCTCGTATTATTCCCTAGGGAGATAATGTGACATATTTTCTCCCTAGCAAGTTTATACCAACTTTACATTTTCCGCTGCGCTTCCTTTTCGGAACACCCTTCTCTGAAGCGAGTATAAGCTGCATCATACAGATGCACAAACGAAATGTGTGCTCTCATCTTACTTGACTACTCAAAAGCTTTTGATACCATAAATCACCAAATCATGACTGCCATTCTACACTTCATAGGGTTTAGCGAATCAGCGTGTTCTTTTATGATATCCTATTTGGCTGATAGAGTTCAACAGGTTAAATTGGATAATATTATATCTGAACCGCTGAATTTGCAACAAGGAATTCCTCAGGGAAGTATCTTAGGCCCCTTGATATGTACCATTTACACCAGTAACTTTTGCTCAAGCTTGACACACTGCAAATATCATTTTTATGCGGACGACACCCAGCTGTACTACTCATTTAAATTTTGTGATATAGCTGAAGCCAATGGTTTTATTAATTCTGATTTGAATGAACTTCTCGATGTTACTAACAATCATTTACTGAAAATCAATTCAAAAAAATCTATCGCACTCTTATTTGGGTCAGACAATCAGAGAAATGAGGCGCTCAATACCTTGCACATAGAAATTGGAAATGACCCGATCAAATTTGAAGATAATTGCAGAAACCTTGGGCTCTTCATGGATTTCAAACTACGATTAAAATATCATATCACCCAAAAACTCAAAAATGCATATTCTTCCTTGAAGCTCATTTATCAGCATAGACATTTTCTCAATTCTAAACTGAAAATACAACTTTGTGATAGTTTGGTTCTTTCTCACTTCAATCACTGTGATGTTGTTTATGACCCATGCATCGATAATATTGACACTAGAAGAATCCAGAAAACACAAAACTCGTGTTTGAGAATGATATTCGGGATTAGACGACCACAGCGTATTTCTCACAAATTGATGGACATTGGTTGGCTTAGCATGTTCAATCGTCGTAAACTTCATATGGCATGCTTTTTCTATAAAATTTTGAAAAGTAAAGCACCGGAATATTTATACCAAAGAATTACATTCAGAACGGACGTACATAATCTGAATCTGAGGCGTAGAAATATGCTCATGATTCCCAGGCATAAGAAACAACTATTCAGGCGGTCTTTTTCTTATAACGTAACACTGTTTGGCGATATAATGGATTTTTCATTCTCATCATGTGAAGCATTTAAAATTTGGTACAAACGATTTCTGTTCTCTCAACAATGATATCACATTTCTTAGTATAGGTACAGGTGAATATTTATGAATCATAATCAATGCATTTTTTTTTTCTGTTATATTTTTCTTGTTATGAACGTTCTCATTATTATTTTTCTTTATATATTTATTTTTGAGGAAACTGTGGAAGAATCGGCCACTCGGCCTAACAGTTCTCCTATTATCTACCATTATACAACTGATTCTACTTGTACTTCATGTAACATGTATCTATGGTAAATAATAAATGTATTATTATTATTATTATTATTATTATTTCTAGATCTCACTGGTTGCATCAGTAATATCAATAGCTTTCCCTCGATTTCTTGTTCCATGACCGTTAACCATTTTCTAAGCTGTTTTCATACATTTCAATTTGATATTTGCTGTCACCATGGGTTGTCAATAAACGAATTTCACAAACTATACTACCACTAATTATGACAAAACTGTTTGACCAAATTTGTATTCTTCCTTAACTTTGATGTTTTCACCAGCGTAAAAAATAGTATATACACCTCAGGACAGAATGCTATTTTTTCCTCGGTGCTTTGTATCTCTCGGGCTTCGAACTCAAGCTACAAATCGCACCTTGAAAAATATCTCGCATTTCTGTCCCTTGATGTATAATGTACTATTATATCTTTGTCGGTTTTCGAAGAATATAGATTTTTTTTTATATAAATCTAAGAGGCGATGGCGATGGCGATCTACAGCTGCCAACAAAATTTATATTTCTCGAAAAAACTGACAAAGATAACTTGAATAAAGTTTAGTCATATAATATATGCAGGATATAATTTAATTGATGGCTAAGAATTAAGGGTATGGTTCCTCAGCTTATTTCAAGAAGAAAAGTTCAAATAAACATAATATGTCCTACTCTCAGCTTTCGAGCTACAGGGTGTTAAAATGTTAAGAAAAAATTCGTTTTTAATACAGGCTGATTCAAAATTCGATGTAAATATTTCAAGGACATATTGTTGGAGTCCAAATAAGACTTCAAGAAAGCGGGCCACCCTTACAAATTTTCATTTATGGAGCGATTTTCACGAATTTTTTTGTTTATGTAAAGGGGAAAAAGATGTATTTCATCTCATGGAATTACGCACTCGCCGCTCCGCTCCGTAATATGCTTCTTACAACACATATTACGTAATATACTATTATGTTGAACTCAGCGTTTCCGAGTTAAAAATTATTACGTTCGAAAAAATGCTGTTCAATACTTCATATTCAATGGCAAATCTCGATTCCATTCATTTCTCAATTCACCCTGTATCAAGCCTAAGTAGACGATATAGCCGGTGAAGTAGTTATTCAATGGAGGAAAATCTCGGCGAGAAATACTACAGGAAGATGTCTATTGTCACTACTGCAGATGTCTATTGAGGTTCACTGTTTTGAAGACTCAAGAAAACCGTTTATCACACTTTACCAAATAGTTATTTTGACTATTTCACTCATCACATATAATCTGACCAATCACAAGCCAGAGACACCGTGTGCTTATTGCGAAAACATTAGCTGTCTTTCTATTCTGATTGATCTATTGTTGATGTTTTCAACGATATAACTATAGATAGCGAAGCAAAGTCTGTCAGTTTTGGCGTAAAATAATTATGACTGTACTTGTCATAATTAATCACTCATTTATAATAAATTATTCTAATGCTTCTTGAACGTGAAATAGCCTAGCAAAATACCACTCTGTTCTAAATATCTTCTCATAATTTTGTCTTTTATTGTTAACTCAATTGTGTTGTCGTACAGCAATACCAATACAATTTTGTGAACAACGAAGCGACAGAATTATCTCGTATATTCAGAACATCGTGATATTACTTAAGAAAATCGCGTCACCTGAAAGAAAAGTCAAATATAACACAAAAAGAATGATTGAAAAACACTCTCCAAAGACTGCAAATAGATACACTTATATGCTTGATAATAATATTCCGATTTTTATAGTTGGAGAATATCTTTTCGAATTATTTACTATCAAATTTATTTGTATTTTTTTCTGGTATCGAACATAAGATAGACAATGTGTTTTCTCGAAATAGTTTACGAATAAAAAAATAGTTTTATCATTCCCATTTGGTATATACTTACATAGCACAATTAAAATGATTAATCCAATAAGGAATAAGGCAGCTAGTATAACTAAAAGTATGGACAGTCTCTTGTAGAAGGAGTGGTGTTTGAATCTGAAAAGTTGATAGAACAAATAATTATACGCCATTGTTGAGTAGTTCTAAAAAGCGCGAATGAGTTATTAGTTGGGCGTAATTTTGAGAAAGTATTTCTTAATCACTGCTCAATGCATGCCAAAAACAGTGTTCAGAACAACAATTATTTATAATAAACTCACATTTTTCCTCTGGAATGTACCTCAACTAAGTAGTCGTTTTGAATATTTCGTGGTGGATATCCTAGAAAAATTGAAGGAGCAATACAAGGGTAGATAAGCATAAATATTTCATGTACAGTGTAGAATTCCATGATGGAATGAAATCCGTATCTACATAACAGAACAGATATTCATGGCCTCATTATGCAGAAGATCAGATTTTCTAAGCACGCTGAAGATGATTTCGTATTTGCTTTAATTTGTTAATGAACTTTCTGTTCGTCAAATGATTTTTAAAGAGATTGCGATCGCTTGGAGGTCCAAGGAAGTTTCGCGTGCATGTTTAATGATTGTATACTCCACATTAATATTTCCGAATGTTTTTTCACAAACATAATTACGTGAGAAGTGGTCAATGTCCTGTTTAATCGACGTCCTATCGATTGAATGAAAAAGGAAAACTAAACAATAACATGGTTACCTAGATATTACTGTGACAACATGCAGGAAATAGGAATATAAATGGAAGTAATACATCGGATTTTACATCAAGTTATATAAGTGTTTTTGGAATTACACATATAGGTACATCGTAGTTCCAATAATAATGCCTACTAATCGATCAATACCTTCACTAGATAATCAATCAATGTAGGTACAATTAATTTTACTTATTTTAGTTGATGTTCATTCGATTCTACTGAGCAGGGTATTTCAATAACTTATGTTATTTTTAGAATTCCCATATTTCCTCATATCATAATTCACGAGATTCTCAAATCCAGTTTTCATTCAGTGAACAGGACCTCCACAAAGCACTCAAATATTCTTCGATTCTGTGACATGAGATCTAGAACATTATTTCAACAATCTTAAACATTAACAGCTCAAAAACACCTTCTAGAACTTCTCCTATTTATATTATTACATTTTCGGATAATGTGATCAAATTATCAACAAATAATTTGCAAGAGGTGGTAATTTTTTGATAATTTTTACTAGATGCTCGAATCTTTGTTGCTATCAAAATCTCACCAGTGAACGGAGTCCACGAGTGGGATTTCTCAATTATCGCTGTAATTCGCTACTAACAAATTATCAGTATGATACCAACTGATTGGCTAGAATTACTCATTGATATTGGTTGAAGTTTTTCCTCCAGAAGCCTTTGCCGTTTTTGACTACTTCGAGGATACATATATCGTCTATAAGAGGAAGACGGCGTGGAAAACCAATTTTTACCATTATGTTTGGTATGTTTATAAACGAGTAGAAAATGATCTGCCTAGATCGAATAATGCTCCAGAAGCATGGAATAGAATTTGGAAGTTTGATTCTTTGTAGTCATCCTTCTATGGTAAATACTAAACGGTATAAAAAAGAACATCAGTAATATAGGTACCTGATTTTAATGTATACATTAATCGAGCTCATTTCTTTACCATATACGTTCAATTTATTGTAGGGTTTGATGGCAATTGATATACTGGCCTGGCAAGAATAATTTTCCGATAGAGAAACGATTCATGGTCGTTGTTGCCCCACCTGTTCGAGTCTGGCATGTGTGTCAAACGATAATTCCTTCGGTCTGGCCGAAAAATGGACTCGCTCGAGGGAGACAACGTTGCTGCTCAAGTACACCGTTTCTCTTTAAGAAAATTATTCTTGCCAGGCGTGTATGAGAAAATAAATATCAATATCTACAATGAATCATGGAGAATATTTCCTTCATATATAAAATGTCTCATAAGAGCAATGCAATTATTGAAAAATTACAACGGTAATTGCACTGCATAACAACACATTTGAAACCATGTCGCTAGACGCCAAATAATACAAATAAATGTCAGATAGGCTTCAGAAAGTGAAAAAAAATTCGCGTTTTGTTGAGTGCTCCATACAGAGAACAACATTCTCGAAGAAACTTCTGTATTCGTGAAATATTCCATTGAATTACATTCGTGCATAAAAAAGACTAGATAATTTTGCGTTCAAGCGTGATATCTTATACGAATTGCATTCGGTTATTTTCATACTTTGTTAAAGAAAACTCCTCCTTCGGCGCTTTCGCCAAAATATGAAATGTACTCTTGCAATTTTTAGATAATAGGTACTCTTGCGAAATTATCGGTAATTTTTATGCACTTGTGCAATTATAACCAGAAATGAGTGTGAAAAAAAAATCGAAACAGTAAACGAAAAATATTTCCAAGACCAAAGATAATTCGAAAATATTCGTACGTAGAAATAGTAATTTTTGTAAAAGTACAATAAAAAGTTTTTTATTAATGTAGGTATATTAGTAGGTAAGTGGTTACACAATGGTTTCTTTCATTGAATGAAATAATTTTCAAAATATAATTTTTGAATTTATTAACCTTCTGTGAGGCAGTGAAGTATGTATACAGTGTGTCCCAAATTCGATCCTCACCATTGGGATCTCAGTAACTATGAGAGAAACGGTTAAATTAGCAAAGTTGTAGCAAATTCAATGTTGAATCAGAATATATCAAGAAATCCAGACTAGCTTCAGACATTCTTGAGTTCTTCGAGAAAAAATGAAATCTTGTATTTTCGTTTTCCTCGAATATCTCCGAAACTATTGATTTTATGAAAAAATGACTTCTACATTCTCATAGCACTTTTTGGTGTTCTTTTCAATGGTTTTGTCAGTTTTCCATCAGAATGTCAAATTTCTGAGATATCACCTACAACTTCGGTTTTTCTTACGGACGCCATATTGGATTTTCACAGAATTGAAATCAGCATAAAATTTACTTTAAAGTGATGTATCACAGTCACAGTTAAGGAGTACTGATTTCCAATTTTTGTTTTCATGTCCAGTAGGCTATGCCCTAAACTCTCTATAAACAATAACGATTATGTGTCCTGGCACAACTTTCATAGAGTATTAGGTTTGGAGTCAAGTGACATTTCTGTGAACGTCAAGAGGAAATACAAGTTAATTATTTCGGGGCAAACAATGCCGTTCACAAAAACCACAGTGACAGTACAAAGGTTAAGACCTGGTGATGAGTTTTGTCACTGGTTCGTCAACCATAGGGTCCCTTGATGGAAATTGACATTAAAGTTATCTTAACAGGGTACGGACAGATCATAGCTGCATTCTTTTTTAATGATCTAGAGACTTTAGTTTTGTCTACTGGCACCCCTGACATTGCTGTCACGTCACATCCATGGGCGCTACAGAAAATCATTCGAAATTTTAATAATAGGTATGTACAGGGTATTTAATTGTTGAGGATGATCATATGGCGAACAAATTTTGTGATGAAGATCCGATTCTATTCAAAATTGATATCTGAGGGTTTTCGGGGTAAGAGATAATGATTGTTTCGTCAGAATTAGAAAATCCAAGATGAAGACGGATCCAATATGGCGAAAGAGATCAGTTTGTATAATTACTACTCTATCACAAATAGAAAATATGTAGGATGCAAGAGTGAAAATAACGTGCCTATAAGTTATACTGCGTATACCTACTTGTTTGTTACTTTCATCGCAATAAATTATTCGAAAATGACTTTTTATTTAAGGAAGACGGAAGAATCATATGTATAACATGGGAGTGAAGTATATGCTATTCTTTATTTCCCTGCACATTTTACGTATTACTTTTTATCAGCCTACTTTTCGTCCTAGTTTCGAAGTTTTATACATAGTTTATATTAGTCACTCCATGAATTCTTCGAGTTGGATTTCCAAAAATATATTCAGCACACATTACATGAGTACAGTAGTTTAGATATTCACATCGAGCTTTTCACCATTTCTCAATCATCAGGGTCAGCTCCTTCAGCTCATAGATAAACTACTGCTCAATTTGAAAACAGAATTCATTCAATCAATTCAGTCAACCCTTGTATACAGTCTAAGAACAGTCTCTTTTGGTGAAATATATTGAGCTTTCAGTAAAATTCATATGTTCCCTTAGCTGCCTCTCAAAAATTATGCTGGAGTATAGTAAACTCTAAAACTAGAGGATTGTTCATCTATATTTTGGTATAGTTGAATCAGGAATTCCATATGGAAATTACGTATGATACGCCAGTGACCTCAATATAACCTAAAAAACAACAAATGCCAAAAATCTAGTGTTTATCCCCAGAAATGAATAAAGATGGAACTATATAACTGTTTCACAAACACTTTAGAGTGAGAGGAGACGAGGATCTGTCCGTACCCTGTTAAGATGACAAATACGTCAGTTTACATCAAGGGACCCTAGTCAACCAGTGTGAAAGAATCGATATCGATATCTCGAAAGTCAATTTGGACCTCTTATATGGCCTCCAAGGTCGCCTGATTGTACGCCTCTCGATTTTTACCTATGGGGCTACGCCAAAAATAAAATTCATGAAGAGCCAATTCAAGATATTGATGATCTACAAGAGAGTGATGGACACATTCTAGCACATCAACAGAGTTCATCTGAAAAAAGCAGCGAATCATGTTCGCACGCGAATATCAAAATGTATCGAGAACAATGGGGGCCATTTCGAGCAGTTCAATTATTTTTTTTTAGTATTTGTATTATCCACCTGTTAAGTTATGCAAGAACATTGAACACATAATCTGGGGTAAAGTTCATGGTGATGGAGTGAAGTAGTAACTAATAACACAACATAATGAACTGTCATGGAGATAACTTCGGGAATTATTTATTAGTTACAGAATTCATAACCTATACTGGACATAAAAACAAAAATTGGAAATCAGTACCCCAAAAGAAATGAAATTGTGATTCTGATACATCATTAGAAAGGAAATTTTATGCTGATTTCAAATCTGTTAAAATCCAATATGGCGTCCATAAGAAAAATTGAAGTTGTAGGTGATATCTCAGAAATTTTACATTTTGATGGAAAACTGACAAAACCATTGTAAAGAACTCCAAAAAGTGCTATGTGAATGTTGAAATAATTTCTTCATAAAATCAATAGTTTCCGAGATATTCGAACAAAACAAAAATACAAGATTTCAGTTTTTCACAAATAACTCAAGAATGACAAAAGCTAGCCCGGATTTCTCAATAGATTCTGATTCAACATTAAATTTGCTACAACTTTGCCAATTTAACCGTTTCTCTATCTCTCATAGTTACTGAGATCCCAATGGTGAGCATCGAATTTGGGACACACTGTATATAAATAGAACAAAAATGATACCTCTCAAAAAAAGTTAGTTACTTAGACTCACTTGAAATAGTAAACGGTCTCCCATTGTTTTCCTCCGGCTGATAGGCATAGTTATCCATGGTATCTCTCACCAACAGAAGGAAAACTGAAAATGGTTTTTCACCTCCAGCGATGGCATGCTATGCGATAAAGGCTCGACCATGTAATAGACATGGCCAGAGGAAAGCGTTCACATATGCCCAGTATTTGTATACGATTGACACAGTACCTATACCTTTGTAAAAAAATCTGATCGATCAACACGTTGTTATTGATCAGTCATCAGTCGAACGTTGGTAAATTCTGATTAATAATGCATACAACAATTACTTTGTTACCTTTTAAGGAGCCTTCCTTCTAATTTTAAGTGCATCTCTTTTTGAAGACATCGTTATGGACTAAACACTAGCTGACAAAAGTTAGAACCCACTGAGAGTTCTCAAAATGTGAATAGTTAGATGAGCAGGTTTCTAAAATGAGCGCTAGATTTTTTCCTTAAACAACGGATTGTATCTTCCTTTTTACACTAATATTTATATTATTTCTTCAATTTATAGTCATTTCAGGCTTAGATATAGCATAAAAAATATGCCACACTTCCGAGAAATTTATATTAGCAAAAAAATATTTCAGAATGACACAATCATATTCTTGAGATGAGAAGATTATTATGGTATTTCTATTTATTTGAATAATTCAAATATGTCATACAATGAATGGAAAATAATCAACTAAAATGTATTGTATACAATTACAATTTTTTTGGGGCCAATTATATTTGAATGTATAATAATTATTGCCAAATAATTTCTGCACTTCGACAATATTGAGTTCTTGTTTTGAAAATGCAGGTTTTTCTGGCTAGAAAATGGATTTATTTGGTTTGACAGATATATTGGTTTGAACCAAAGATGTGTAAGTTTTTTATTAGAAAATTTTGAATTTTTACGATGAACAAAATGGTGAATTATCTTATACTTAGTAGAGAGTGTAAAGCTTGATGCAAGGTTCAATATTATTCATGTAACAATTGTGGAATGCCCAAATTGAGAAACTTGTGAATGATTCATGTTTCAATTTCATACATGAATCAATATTTTTCCACGACAGACTCATATTGAATGGAGATGATGCATGTAACTATATATAGAATCAATATATTATTTAAAAAATAATGTACCATTCAATTATATCAATAGTTCACTCTATAGAGAATGTGAGACTTGAGTTTTTTATATACAAATGATAAAGGAAAATAAAGTATAAGTCAACAGGTAATTCCAAATGATATATTATTATTGCACTTTATTCTTATAGGCAGAGTGCAGACTGAAGGTAATGGGTATAATGATGTGAATAAAATACCATGGAGGCATCAACATATTATTTATTTCATACGATAATTAATTATTATTACTGATGAAGTAGCTACTCAAGGAAGGATATACTATAGTGCTATATGCTATCAAACTATCGATGTCCCCAGTACCATGGAGCATGCGCAATGGGACTCAAAATAGGTTTATGGCCAACCTTTAGAATAGGACTGGGGACTACTTGTAGAATTGGTGGAGGAACAGCAACACTCTGTAATGAAATAAAAATTTATTGAATATTTTTGTGATTTTTCACAGTTCATATTTTCAGTCAATTCATCAATCTCTATACCCAAACAATTTTTATCAAGATAACTTTGCCATCATGATTTGGTTTGATTATTTTTTCATTATCAATTAATTAAATATTTATTGCGCTACTCGCACATGTATAAAATATAATGAACTAACTATACAGGGTATAAGGGTGTTAAACTTGCAATATTCATATCGATTTTGATTTAACTTTGAAATCATGATGAATATCATTCCAATTGATTGTTTTCTAGTAAATTATGTTCTTAGCCAAAGAAACGAAATGGGTTTGCATCTAAAATTTGGGTTACATAACTCATTTATATTTACAAAAAACTCTTGATACAATTCGAGTACACTCATGGTTCGACAAACTTAGAATTTTAGTAATTCACAGCATAAGAAAACATTGAAATATCATTCCAGATTTTTTGGGATTTTCTCTCCTCGTTCCTATGAAATGAAAATATGAGTACCTATATTATATTTCAATATAAACATCAGATGATTCGAACCAAAATATAACTACGTTTAAAAATATTTTTTTTTATCAGAGAGCCTAAAGGAAAAATTCATGCGCTTGTCAGTGACCCTTTGTGAAAAAGGTTTGCAGAAGAGAAATATACCTAAAAAATGTAGAATATTGTTCTCACAAATTGTCTTACGAACGAAAGAATATTTTTTAGACTTTTTGGTAGGAACATTTTTAAACGCAGAAATTATTCGGGGCAACTCATCTGATTTGTCCTCAATAAACGTATATGGAAATGATACTTATATATTTTATAGAAACGAGGAGCTAAAATCCCAAAAAATCTGGAATAATGATAATGGACAGGTAAACGGTACTTCGATTATTAAAATTTATTGAAACAATTCACAAAAATTTCAAATTGTTCATCATTTTCACGTATCCAAAAATTTAAATGTACTAGCTTTTCTTCTATCTGTACTAAGCAACTCTGTACTGATAGGAATATGTGATAAAATTTTGAAGAGCTCTTCTAGGGACACCCTGTTCATAACAATAATAGCTTGAAACTAAAATTGATATAAATAAATATAGGTAAATAGGAGGGTAGATAGCGTGCATCGATGATTATTTGTTTCACTTATGGTCAATACAGTTGGACCCATTATCTGCGTATTTGTCCAATGTATACTAGAAAATCCATTCCTTTTATAGATGACATAAAAGGAAGGTAATCATGAAATCATGTTGAGCTATTTGCTATTGTCAAAGCGTATACAATTCAAACAGAATAGATAAAAAATTGAGCCTAATTTTTGTGTTTGGGTTAGCCCTTTTCTGGGGAATACCTTGAAACGATTTAGAATTTATTGATAGGTAGAAGGTATACAGGGTGGGTCACGGTAGATGGCACCTTAGACGTTTACGGAGAACGGGACATAAGATCATTCTGAAAATTTGGTTACTCAAGTAATTGCTCTTGATCTATCGATCTAAAATATTTTCAGCTCTGCGGCGTTGCCGCTTCTATCGAAAAGTAGCAACAACTTTGTTATTTTAAAAGGAACACCCTGTATTTTATCGCATTTTCAGATTCTCTCTGAAGAGCTGATTTCATGGATGTATCTTACTTGCGGTCTAGCGGAAATGATTACAGAGATATAGGGTGTGAAAAATCGACATTTTTCAACTTAAGGATTTTTTTTTGTCGAAACTATTCATTATTGGTCAAAACGGCTCACATGTCCCTATCTCAACTTTTGATTAACTATCTACTGATATTTAATTGGGACATATACCGGGTGATCAAGAATCTGAATTCTGCACCACCCTGTATTTGTTTCAATTGAATGTCAGTAGATAGTTGATCAAAAGTTGGGATAGGGACATGTGAGCCGTTTTGACCAATAATGAATAGTTTCGACAAAAAAAATTCCTAAAGTTGAAAAATGTCGATTTTTCACACCCTATATCTCTGTAATCATTTCCGCTAGACCCCAAGTGTGATACATCGATGAAATCAGCTCTCCAGAGAGAATCTGAAAATGCGATAAAATACAGGGTGTTCCATTTAAAATAACAAAGTTGTTGCTACTTTTCGATAGAAGCGGCAACGCCGCAGAGCTGAAAATATTTTAGATCGATAGATCAAAAGCAATTACTTGAGTAACCAAATTTTCAGAATGATCTTATGTCCCGTTCTCCGTAAACGTCTAAGGTGCCATCGACCGTGACCCACCCTGTATATTTCCGAAAATATACTGGGTTAGTCAAAAATGCACACCGAGCTTTCTGGAGGTAATAGTACATTGAAAAATAAGTATATATGGAATTTATAAAATTGAGATTATTTTTCTGTATAACTTCTAAACGGTAAAATCCACTAGATTGAAATTACCTGCGAAAATGAATGTTGATAAAATACAGTTTTCTGATATACTTCTACATTACAGATATTGTTATAAAGGGTGTTTTCAGAGGGTGGGTCATTATTTTTTGAAGATAACTATTGTGCTCATATTCTTTTTCGTTAACAAATAAAAGCATTCGATAGAGCGAAAAGAATTACATGAAAACGGCACTTTTATCAAAATTCAAAATACAAAAATTGTAGTTTTCGAGATATTTGAGTTTTTGTTGTCACATGATATCAGCAAATTAATTCATCAGTAACAATATTTTAAGAGGCCATGATCAATTTTGTTCCTATTGACTTTTTTATGACATGAACATTGTTATTGTTAATTTATTTGTTTAGTTGTTTTGCTAAATAATATTATTACTGCGATTTTCAACTGAGATTTCAAAAAATTGAAGGTTATTCTCTATGCCGAGATGTTTTCTGCTCGACTTGTTTTTATGTAAGTATTTTATAATCTGGTGGCATTCACCGATTAGAAGTTATGCAGGAAAATTATTCCTAGTTTATTAACTTTGGAAGGATATATCTCCCTCAATATACATTTTGGGGCATCAGTTTATTCATCAAACTATACTTATTTCTCAATGTTCTATCGCCTCCAGAATGCTCGGCACACATTTTTGACTCACCCTGTTACGAGAAGTATGTTCCATTAGAAGTTAGCATTCTAATTTGAATTGATTCAAAAGAACAAATAGAAAATATAGGTACAAATGGTTGTAGTAACACCTAAACAGTCCGAACAAAAAACAGATTCCAGTCGAGTTGCGTATACCTAACCAAGCAAGTTTTTTATAATATTTATTCATGGAACAAAATCAAAAACAATCTAATCCCATATAGAGGTTTCAACAATTACCGATTTTTGTGACAAATACGACAACATTGAATATATTCTATTGTACACCTGAATAACATTCCCCATCAATTTGACCCACCCAATCCGAATTACTCATTGTAACCGATGATAATGAATGGTGTTCCGCAAGGTACGGATCTAGACCCCATCTACTCTGTCAATTGTTATCGATACTAACCTTGAAAACCACAGGATGCGGTACATGATATTGTGTAACGCTAGCATAGCTAGTGGCAGCAGGAACAACTTTGATTACTGGGTATGATGGTATGACATGGGGAGGGTGGTAGAAGTCTACCCCTAGGGAGTCGTATCCAGGATTGGCATAGGCTAGGGTTACGCAGAAGCTAATTAACATCTGCAA